ATAATTTGTTGAGGCTGGTACCCTGACTCCCATAACCCTTGAGAGAAATGAAGTGGTCCTGAGTCTGGAATACAAAAATTTATTAAATCTTTAAATCAATAAAGGATGCAGTTATGAAGATGAGCAAACTACTCAGGAATGAAAGACTGTTTAAGGAGAAGAAAAGAAATGGAACTTGTAGAAAAGAAAAAACATACAATTATTGATATAAAAGATGAAGAGGTTAAACAAGAGATTAGAAACAGGTAAAGACTGTGAACAAAAAGAATCTACACCCAAATATATCTTAATGAAGTTGCAGAATATCTAAGAAAAGATTGTTAAAACAGCCAGAGAGAAAGAACAGCTCATCAGAGGAACAACAGAACAACAGAAGAGTTCTCAAAAAACACAAATGCATGTGCTCAAAAATTTTGTTAACTTAGGATTGTGCTAAGCAAAATCCTCAGGAAAAACAGAAATAATTGTAAGTAAATAAAAGCTGAGGACATTTCTTATCACCAAGTTTGTTCTAAAGTAGTTTTCAACTAGGGACAATTTTGCCCACCCCACTAGGGAATATTTGGAAATGACAGAGCAAGACCCTGTCTCTAAACAAACAAACAAAAGTTATGTCAGTTTTCTTTTTTGTTGTTGTTTTTGTTTGTTTGTTTTTCTTTTTTTTTTTTTTGAGTTGGAGTCTCACTCTGTCGCCCAGACTGGAGTGCAGTGGCCGCTCCCAGCCACCGCCACCTCAACCTGCTGGGCTCCGACGATTCTTCCGCCTCAGCCTTCCAAGTAGCTGGAACTACCCACGTGCGCTACCACACCTGGCTAATTTTTTATTTATTGTAGAGATGAGATCTCGCCAAGTTACCCAGGCGGGTCTCGAACCCGCGGGCTCAGGCAATCCACTCACCTCAGCCTCCCAAAGGCACGGGATTACAGGCTGAGCCACCGAGCCTGGCTCAGTTTTCTTTTGATTAGCAATTGACTGATATATAACTTTTAGTTTTTATTTGTGCTTATATTATTTCTCTTATAAACAGTATATGTTTAGATTTTGCTGTTTAATCCAGTCTGTCAATCTTTATGTTATGTTTTAACTAGTCAATTTAGTCTACTTACATCATTATAATTATTGGTATTATTGATAGATCTGAATGATTCTGCCATCCTAAATTATTTCAATTTGTCCCACTTTTCCTGCTTATTTATAATCTCTTCTTGCCCCTCCCAAAATGTGCTATCTATGTTACCCCTTCTCCCCAAATAAAGAAAATAACATTAGCATACTCTTACATCAGTCTCTTTCCTGCCCCAACCTCCATCATCTTGTTATTATCTAGACTAGGTCAATCAGAAAAGGAGGGACTATCTAATAAATGGATTTGGAAGACCTATTCATTTGCTAGCTATATGGTCTGGCTCCTTCCTGTCCTTCTGCTCTCTCTTTTCCTGACTCTACATCAGCCATATTGTCCTTTCTGCTTTATGAATCCACGAGAATTGTTTCTGCTTTAGGATTTTTTTAAATTACTGTAGTCTCTCTGTGAAATGCAGGTTTTCCTTATCATCCTCCGCCAGGGATATAAGTACACAAGAACCAATTGTGTGCATCTCTTCCCAAAACCATGTCAGTGTCTTCACCTTAGTAGTTTGAAATTGGCCATGTGTGATTATTTATGCCACAGAAATTGCCAAATACTGTTAAGTCAGGGTTTAATTCTTGAGAGTCTGCTTTTCAGCACACCAGTGATCTTCTCTGAAGTTGTCCTTCTTCTCCCCAGTCTTTCTCAGTACTCGTTTCTTCTTCATCATTGAACTTATAAATTCTTGAAATGTCTTTTTGGTTTTAGGGGATTTGAGTAACTTATTTTCTGTGACTTCAGTATACACTCAATGAAAGCAGGGTCTTTAACTGCCTTTGTACAGTATATCCTCAGGACCTAGAACAGTGCCCAAATTCTCGTTAAAATTTTCTCTAGCTGTTAGAGGAAAGAATTATGTTTTTCTTTCTTTTTAGGACATTTTTATGGAAAATATCAAAGGTATAGAAAAGTAGAATAGCATAATGAACTTGTGTGAACCTATCACCCAGCTTCAACATTATACATCTGTTTTTAGATTTTTTTTCCTAGAATGTTTTAAAGAAAATTCCAGACATCATGTGATTTTACTTGCCCTTTAAAAAAAAATAACTGGTATATTTACAAATGTCTCTGTTTCAAAAATGTCTTTTTTTTTTTAACATTTAATTGTTGAGTCAGGATCCTGGCAAGGTTCACATCTTGCAATTGGTTATTGTTTCTTATGTCTCTTTTATCTGTAAGTATTTTCACCCTTTTAGTTTATGCCATTTACTTGCTGAAGAAATCTGATTGTTTTGTAACATTTTCCAGATTCTCAATTTGGTGATTAGTTCCTTGTTATATCTAAAATCTTCCTGCTTTGTGTTTTCTGTGAACTGGTAGATTTAGAGACTTGATTAGATTCAAATTTCCATAGGCTAGGTGAGGCGGCATATGCCTGTAATCTCAGCACTTTGGGAGACTGAGGTGAGAGGATTGAGGATTGCCTAAGTTCAGGGATTTGAGACACCAGCCTGGGCAACTTGGCAAGACTTCATCTCTACAATAAATCAAAAAATTTGCCAGACATGGTAGCACATGCCTGTGGTTCCAGCTACTTGGAAGGCTGAGGTGGAAGGATCGCCTGAGCCCAGCAGGTTGAGGCTGCGGTGGCCATGAGCGTGCCACTGCACTCCAGCCTGGACAACAGAATAAGACTGTGGCTCAAAAAAAAAAGAAGAAGAATACACCATAGGTTGTACAGTATACTTTTTTTTGTATTACAGTACAAGATTGTGTTGTCCCACTTTCAGGGATGTTAAGGTTAGTCGGTGGGTTCCAGATCACCCTGATCCATCCATTATAAAGTTCTGCCTCAGTCTTTTACCTAATGGTTTTAGCAACTATTGATGATCATTGCCTAGGTTCATTATTTCATTACAAACTAATGGGGTTTTTTTCTACTTCTGTCATTTCACCTATCATTAATTAGCTAAAGTGCTTCTGTAAGAAACTGTCTTTTAACTATTTGTTATTCTGAAATACAGTTGGCCCCAGAAAGGGAGGATAACTGCTTAATTCTTTCCATTCATTATTTTTCAGAGTTGTGTGTTATTTCCTTAACAATCTTGCAAAGGTGACTAACTTTTAAAAATATGATTTTGGGCATTTCATGTATTTGCATTTCAGCCCACTACATTATTGATTTATTATTATTATTGTTATTATTATTTGAGTCAGAGCCTCACTGTCACCCAGGCTGGAGTGCAGTGGCATGCTCACAGCCACCACAGCTTCGACCAGCTGGGCTCAGGTGATCCTTCTGCCTCAGCCTTCCAAGTAGCTGGAACTACAGGTGTGTGCCATCACACCCGCTAATTTTTTTATTTATTGTAGAGATGAAGTCTTGCAACATTACCCAGGTTGGTCTCGAATCCCTGGGCTCAGGCAGTCCTCTTGCCTCCACCTTCCAAAGGGCTGGGATTAAAGACGTAAGCCACCATGCCTGGCCCTCATTATTTATTTTTAGTGCTCATATTATTTCATTTTTCGCCATCAGAATCCCTTTCATGTTGACTTGGTGTCTCTTGCCATGACCTAGTAATTTTGATAGTTTGTTGGTTATTGCCCAAGCCCATCTTATATGATTAAGGCTATAAGATTTTTAGTTTTCTTAATTTTTATATTGGTATCTATTTCCCCAGTGTTGAAAATCTTAGTTTTTGATAGTATTTGTTATTTTTTATTTTGTCTCTTCTCTCCTATCACACTATGTAATAATACAACTTTTGTACAATAAAGAAACAAAAGTTAAGGAAGTGCTCAAATAACACAAACTGCTGTCTTAGAGACTCAGTCTCTCTTTTTTTTCACAGCTCATTCACCGAATTCCCATCAGGTGACTCTTTTAACATAAAAAAAAAAATTATGGCCAGACTTGGTGGCTCAGCCTATAATCTCAGCACTTTGGGAGGCCAAGGCAAGTGGATTACCTGAGCCTACAGGTTCAAGACCAACCCAGGCAACTTGGCGAGCCTTCATCTCTACAATAAATCAAAAATTTGCTGGGTGTGGTAGCATGCACCTGTAGTTCCAGCTACTTGGAAGGCTGATGCAGAAGAATCGCCAGAACCCAGCGGGTCAACGCTGGGGTGGCCCTGAGCATACCACTACACTCCAGCCTAGGCAACAGAGTGGGACTCCAACTCAAAAAAAAAAAAAATTGTGCTTTGTAAAAAAATACAATAAAATACTTGATTAAATGACCTAATGTAAATTTCAAAAAGTTGGACAGCTCTGTAGGCAGAGAACTTTTCCTGTCGTTATCAATAGTAACAGTGTGTAAGGTAGGCCATGTCTAGCACAGTATTATACACTGAGTAGATACATGATAAATATTCTACCTTTTTTCCCCTTGGATTTGGATTACTTTAAGAGTAGAGTCTCTATAGGCTGGAATTTTTTTTAAAATAGTGTCCCTAAGGTTGTATTGTTAAGAAATGACCTGCCTGAGCCTGCAGGTTCAAGACCTGCCTGGGCAGCGAGACCTCATCTCTACAGTAAATCAAAAAATCAGCCGGGCGTGTTAGCCGGGCCTGTAATTCCAGCTACTCGGAAGGCTGAGACGGAAGGATCGCCAGAGCCCAGCAGGTCAAGCCTGCGGTGGCCGGGAGCGGCCACTGCACTCCAGTCTGGGCAACAGAGTGAGACTCCAACTCAAAAAAAAAAAAAAAAACAGAAATGACCCATGTTTACTTCTTAGAAATATGTTTTTGCTCCTGGTAGAGAGGAGGCCACATTCTTTAAGCTGTGCTGATTAAGTTCTACTGTAAAATTAAATATGAATTTGAAAGTGAGTTCTATTAATACAGAATCAACATACAGTTGTTTGGTGCTGATGTTTCTTCAATACCAATGAGAAACTAACTTGGTTTACTTTTTTTTCCCCAGATGATGGGCATAAGAAAGCTCGAAATGCTTATCTCAATAATTCCAATTATGAAGAAGGAGATGAATATTTTGATAAAAACTTGGCACTCTTTGAGGTAACATTTGGGATAAGACTATGGACAGAGTTCAGAAACAGAGATATGATTATAGCCATTATCTACCCCATTGGTTTTAAAACAGCACAAACTGGATAATTTAATAACTAATGTTAAAATAAAATAGAATAATTATTATAAGCTGTTATGTAGATAATTTTGCCTGTATAATCTAATTATAGTGAGTAACCATTAAGTCAGATTTTTATGAAATAAGGAAGAGAAATATTGGCTTCTCAGGCATGTGGATAACCTTGCAATCTAATTCAGCTGCGATTTAATTTTTTTATTTTTTTACAATTAACTTTCTTCTAAGTATAAAGTGGTATATTTCTCTACCCTATATTTGGAAAGACTATAATTTACCTTAGAACTAACTAAACAAAAATCACTGTAGGAAGCAGGCTGTTAGATTAAGAGGAACTGTATGTCTTATTTTAAATCTACAAATAATAATTATATATTTGATGGGTACAGTGTGATATTTTGGTGTATGTATACATTGTGGAATGATTAAATCATGCTAATTAACACACCTTATGATTTTTTTTGTGGTGAAAATATTTGAGTTTTTTCTTTGCAAAAATTGTGATTTATTTAACACATTAATCTATGAATATAAAGAATTTGGAAAACTTTCTGGATGAACCAAACAAATATCTAAATATAGAAAATCATACCTAATCATGCACAAGTAAAATTGGCTACAATCATTCATGAATGTTAAATGTCAACCGTGATGGATATTTATACAAAGAAGGAAGAAAATATAGAACAGTGGCATTATGGATCAAAGTTTCTCAAAGTGACATTGATATGTCTTGATAGAAGGGAGAAATGATAAAATGCTTTATGAAAGATTAAAAAGTTAGCTGTGTATAGTGGCTCATGCCTGTAATCTCAGCACTTTGGAAGACCGAGGAAAAAGGATCACTTGAGACCAGGTGTTTGAGACCAGCCTGGACAACATACCCCATCTCAAAAAAAGTAAAAACAAAATTTTTTAAGAGAAAAAAAAATTTTAAATAAGGATTAAAAAGTTTAAAAAAATAGAAGGAATGTGCTCCATGTTCCATAGGCAACAGCTTTAAGGATCAGTTATTTATTCACGAGTAATGATTGTCAATTTTATAGAGCACTGCTTTCCTACCAGGCTGCTAAGGGATCCATGGGTGGCCCTAGAGGGAGAGCACTGTTTCCAGAATGCCACCAGTCAGTTGTTTTAGCTAATTATGTAAGACAGAAATGACTAATTTTGACAGCCCAGTGGACAAAATTTCTGTTCACAGTTATCCCTTAATTTGAAGGGTAGACCCAATTTCATGTGGTGAAAATATTTGAATTTTCCCTTCTAGCAGTTTTGAAGTATACAAGATACCATTATTAACTGTAGTCACCATGCTGTACAGCGGATCTCAAAAACTTATTCCTCCTGCCTAACTGAAATTTTGTACCCTATGACTAACCTCTCCCCATTCCTCCCTGACCCAGCCTCCAGTATCTGGTAATCACCATTCTGCTCTCTACTTTTATGAATTCAACTTTTCTAGTTTCCACATATAAGTAAGACCATGTGGTACTTGTCTTTCTGTGCGTAGCTTTTTTCACTTAACAAAGAGGACCTGAATGTCTTATGTCTTACCTGATTAAGACAACATGGAGGCCGGGCTCGGTGGCTCAGCCTGTAATCCCATGCCTTTGGGAGGCTGAGGTGAGTGGATTGCCTGAGCCCACGGGTTCGAGACCTGCCTGGGCAGCGAGACCTCATCTCTACAATAAATCAAAAAATCAGCCGGGCGTGGTAGCGCATGCCTATAATTCCAGCTACTCAGAAGGCTGAGGCAGAAGGATCGCCGGAGCCCAGCAGGTGAGGCTGCGGTAGCCGGGAGCGGCCACTGCACTCCAGTCTGGGCGACAGAGTGAGACTCCGACTCAAAAAAAAAAAAAAAAAAAAAGACAACATGAAGTCTCATAGAGTCTGTGGCTAGGTTTTGAAAGGAACATTACTTTTGTCTGACTTTGGACAATAATGAAAGTGTCACTTCTCTCAATTTAATTCAGTCACAAAAGTTTTCTCCTGACCTATCCATGCTTGGTGCTATAAATAGTAGCTATAAAATGTTAGCGGCCAAAAAAGGGGGATACTATTTTTAAGGATCATATTGCCCAGTTCTTTACTAGGCTACTGTAGGGTCCAGTGAGTTTGTTTTTGTTGTATAAAAATTTATATAGCTATTAGAAAGAGTAACAGAAGTTTTTATTTAATAATTTGTGAGTGGAAAACAAAAATAAAAAATTAAAAAGAAAATTACCTTATGATCCAGCAGTTTCACTATTGGGCATATGTACAAAATCAGTATATCAAAGAAATATCTGCACTCCCATGTTCATTGCAGGAATATTTACAATAGGTAGGGTATGTAATCAACCTAAGTGTCCTTCAGTGAATGACTGGATAAAGAAAATGTGCTATATATACACAATAGAATTCTATCAGTTATAAAAAAGAATTGAAATCCTGCCATTTTCAAGAACAAGGATGAACGTGGAGGAAATTATGTTTTTTAAAATTTTGTTATTTTATATTAAAGATGTGGGGTACAGTTCAGAATTAGGTACATAAGTGGTCAACATACAGGTGAAGTTTGGCCTCCCATTGGTCCTCGCTTCGCCTGGTTTAGGATCAGGTACCCTTACTGATGTTATGTACCAACCCTCCCCCTCACCTCCCAGCAGTGTCCCACTACTGCTAAACCCTTTCTTGTAGTATTTGATATGATAAATGTCCCAGATCCACTTAAGTGAGAACATGTGGTACTTAGTTCTTTGTTTCTGTGATAGATCACTGAGTATGATCAACTCTAAATCCATCCAAGTTGAGGACATTATGTTAATTGAAGTAAGCCAGGGACAGAAATGCTGCATGATCTCACTTATATGTGGAATCTAAAAAAAGTCAAACTTACGGAAGCAGAGAGTAGAATAGTAGTTTCCAAGAAGTGGGGAGAGCAGGGAAGAGGGATATTAGTCAGAGTACAAAGTTTTAGTTAGCCAGGAAGAGTAAGTTTTTTATATGTTTTACAGCCTGGTGACTATAGTTAATAATAATGTATACTTGAAAATTTGCTAAGACAGTAGATTTTAAGTAGAGTCACCACAAAAAAGGATTTGAGGTGATGGACATGCTAATTAGCTTGATTTAATCATTCCACAATATATACATATATCAGAACATCACAATGTGTACCATAAATATATACAATTTTTATTTGGCACTTAAATAATTTTATAGGGATTCGTGTTGATGTGATTTTTTTTTTTTGAGTTGGAGTCTCACTCTGTCACTCAGGCTGGAGTGCAGTAGCACACTCATGGCCACCTCAGCGTCGACCTGCTGGGCTTAGGTCATCCTTCCGCCTCAGCCACCATGCATGTGCCACCATGCCTGGCTAGATGTTGACGTGATTAAGTGTGATTTTCTAATGTGAGACAGAGAATAAAATCTCATTGATAAATTTTCTTAAAATATTTACTTGTGAAGTATTTTTTCGTTTACTTTGCAGTTTTCTGGTGGATGTTCTTTTGATGCATATTTTCAGTGTTCTTTTTTTTTTTAAACTAATTCCTTGCTAAACTAGAATTTATTGTTCTTCATAACTCATTTCTTCTACATTGTTGCCTTTTTAGGAAGAAATGGACACTAGACCAAAGGTGTCTTCTCTCCTCAATCGCATGGCCAATTATACTAATCTGACACAAGGAGCAAAGGAACATGAAGAGGCAGAAAACATCACTGAAGGAAAAAAGAAGCCTACCAAGGTGAGGGCTCAGAATAACAAGGGTAGCTTTTTAAAAAAATTTTCTTATTTTAAATATGTGGGGTACAATTCAGGGTTAGGTATACAAATGTTCATTATGCAGGTACCCTTGTAAGGATAATTTTCTTAAAAGCCTTGTATATGAGAAAGGAGGAACTATCTAGGGCATCGCTCTATGTTCAACAACTATTTATTAAATGGTATATATCTGTCACCAATATGGACACTGGAGTCATAGCACAAACAGAACATCTCATGTCTGGGCTGTCATGCAGTCTAAATTCTAGTGTGAGGAAACAATCTTTAAGCTATTTTAACTGTGTTATAAAATTGATAACATATTAAGTGTTGATAAATACTTTCACCAAAATTTAAGTAGGGTAGAGAGACAGACTAGCAAGGGAGGCTGAATGGAGGGGGGTTGCTACTTTAGATAGGGTAGACAGGGAAAGCCTTTCTGACAAGGTGATGTTTGAGCAGAGATCTAATTAATGTGAGGGAGTAAGCCATGTGGGAAAAGAGCATTCCAGGGAGAGGGAATAGCACTTGAAGAGAATGTTGTCCACACCCATCTGCTGATGCCATCTGACTGTTGTGAAGTTGTTTAGTTTTTTAAAAACCAGATATCTGTTTGTCTCAAAGTAAAAATATGAGGTATTCACTTTAGAATTCTGACTGAAAAGACGTAAAATGGCCCATCTACTTTATTTACCAACTACTGTGAAGAATTTATGCCAAATTCTGAAGGAATTCTATCAAATCTTTATTATGTTTTTAAATGAAAAAAGAAAGCCAACAGCTTAGAAAAACAAAATTTTAAATTGTTGGGGACACACTTAAAAGTTTGTGGCCAAATGTCTGTTATAATAAAAACGTTTGGAAACCTATATAAAGTAAAGATGTATAGCTCTAGAAATAATAAAAGTGTGCCAATAAACATTTGAAAGTTTGAGATTTTTTTTGTGTGTCCTTTTGAAGATATTGCTTAAATTTATAATCTCTGCTTTGAGGTTAATATGGTAATTAGGGAGCAAGTTGTTATATTAAAAGTAAAAGAATAAGAACTTATTTTGGGGATGACTATATAATTTTTTGTTTTGTCAACATCTTTTTTTTCTAGACCCCCCAAATGGGTACCTTCATGGGTGTCTACCTCCCATGTCTACAAAATATTTTTGGAGTGATCCTCTTTCTACGTCTCACATGGGTGGTAGGCACAGCTGGAGTTCTTCAGGCTTTTGCAATTGTCCTTATCTGCTGCTGCTGTGTAAGTCCTGTGTTGGCTCCAGAAGATCACCTGAAACATTGCAAGTTCTCAAGAGTATATGTACTTGACCTCTTTGGAAATGAAACAAAGAGTACTAAGGGAAAGACTCATGGTCTCAACAGAAGAGATTATATGATATTAAAATTTAAAGGTTTTCAGTTATTTAGTGCCTGTTATTCACTGCTTGCTATCAATTATATGATACACTAGAAATTACAAAGCAATAATTCAATTGGAAGTAGAAGATAAGGTCCTTTTCCATATAGAATTCGGAATCCAAACCATTTGAGCTTGAAAGCACCAAGGTTGTGTCAGAAAATGTGTTAGAAAATGTGATATACTACTTCAGTATATGCTGAGAAACAAAACTGAGTTATTTGGAGGGTGAGGGCTATTTTTTTTTTGAAGTCTCTTCCTTAGAAATTCAGATGTTCATTCCAGGTCTTCTCTTCACTATACTGAAAACATTTTGATCTTCCTTTAATTTAAACTCCTATTTATGTATCCCAGCCACATCTATTAATTTTATTATAGGTTTCTACTGTCTTCTTTGATCACTCCCTGTTCATTATGCTTAGCTGAGTACCATACAAAAAAAGGTTGAACAGACATGATCCATATCATTAATAACTTAATAGTACCTCCATTTTTTCCAGTTTCTCAGGCTTAAAAAACTTCAAGGCTGTACTTGGCTCCTCTATTCCTCTCACATCTAATCAGCTACCAAGGCTAATCCATTCTCTCCCTGAATTCTTACGCTCAGCACTTCCTTTTTATTCCTACTACCACTGCTGTAGTTTTCACCTCTTACTTAAACTACAGTAGTCTACTATCTGTCCATTCTGCCTTCAACTACTCCCTCTCTGCAGTCTCTTCTATATTGTACTATCAGATGTTTTTAAAATACAGTTCCTGTGTACTCAAAAGTCTTCTGTTGTTCTTAGCATTATAGCTAGTCTTCAGTCAGGTTCTGACCTATTTTCTGAATTGTTTCCCTAGTTATTCTTTTTGAGTATGTTATGCTTTGTTTCCTGTTTAGGAGATCCACAGTGAGATTAGCAGTTCTTAATAGCACTTAATTTACTGATTATGATATAGGGACATTTTAACAGTATTCCAGATATTACTAGTGTGACTAGTGGTATGAGTTGGGCCACATCATCTTATTTCCATATTATTAGGTTTGACGAGCATCTCCCTCTGTAAAAGTAAGTAGAGTTAAATGTTTGATAAGTGCTCTGAGGACCACAGATGGGAAGGTAGTACAGACATCATCTTTACACAGTAACAATTCTCTCCTTTCCCTTTCTCTACAGACAATGTTGACTGCTATCTCCATGAGTGCCATTGCCACTAATGGAGTGGTACCAGGTCAGTAGGCCAAGGCTGGATTTCAGGGATTGTCAGTGTTTATGTTATAAAGCTAGAGGTGCTGCCAGGCGCGGTGGCTCATTTCTGTAATCTCAGCACTTTGGGAGGCAGAGGTGAGAGGACTGCCTAAGCCCAGTGGTTCAAGACTAGCCTGGGCAACTTGGCAAAACCTCTTCTCTTTAATAAATCAAAATATTAGCTGGGTATCATGATGTGTACCTGTAGTTCCAGCCGCTTGGAAGGCTGAGGCAAAAGGATCGCCTGAGGTCAGCAGGTCAAGGTTGCGGTAGACGTGAGTGTACCACTGTACTCCATTCTGGGTGACAGAGTGAGACTTCAACTCAAAAAAAAAAAAGCTAGAAGTGCAAACATCTGAGGAAAAGAATACTATCTAGTCTGTTTTGTGCTACAACAAAGTAATGGTCTATAGGACATAGACACTAATACTTTCTGACTTTAGGCTCTCTTTATTTTCTAAACTAGAATGCCTTAATTTCAGTCACATTCCTAACTTCTTTTAGCTAAAATAATTTTTATTGAGCTATCTTATGCTGAAGTGTATATTCTCTAATTTTTTTCTGAGTAATGTTGGAAAATTGTACTGCTTTAATGTGGCACATTAGAAGTGCAGTATATCCTTCAATAAAGGTTTCATCTTTTACTTCCCACTAGCAAATTTTTAAAAATCACATTCAGGGTTTTTGAAGTCTGAAACATTTATACTTCATGCATATTTTTATTCTTATTTTAAGTTGTTTACATTCCTCTTACTAATGCATTCTCTTTTATCCTATTTACCTTCTGTTTTGGCTTTTAGCTGGGGGCTCATACTTTATGATTTCTAGGGCACTGGGCCCAGAGTTTGGTGGAGCTGTTGGCCTCTGCTTTTATCTTGGTACCACATTTGCAGCAGCCATGTATATCCTAGGTGCCATTGAAATTTTTCTGGTGAGTGATGACTTCGTTGTTGTCTATAGTATAAAAGAGATATAGATTTGGATTTATTTTGTTCTTCAGTATTAAAGCTTCTAAAAGATCAGCTATTGGAATAATTAAGGTGATTGGCTTATAACCTGTTACTGGCCTATTTCTGTAACTGAAATAGAAAGGTTGAGGTCCTCTTTGCCAGGCTACCCTTCCCCTCCACCTGATCACCACCACTCTGCCATCTGTATCAAGAAGTTAAAGTCTTGGAGGCAAGATTTGTGCCAATGGGGAAAAAGTAAAATGAAGATAAACTTTATCCCCATAAAAAAAAAATGTTTTTCATTTCTCTATTTAATCACTGAGATGTATTTTTTACTATTTAATGAATGATACCAGGCCAGGCACAATGGCTTATGTATAATTCTAGAACTTTAGGAGACCGAGACGAGAGAATTACTTGAACCCAGGAGTTCGAGACTAGCCTGGGCAACATAACAAGACCTTGTCTTTACAAAAAATAAAAAACTGGGCATGGTGGCTCAAGCCTGTAATCCCAGCACTTTGGGAGGTGGAGACAAGAGTATTGCCTGAGCCCAGGGGTTCGAGACCAGCCTGGACAACTTGTCGAGACTTCATCTTGACAATAAATCAAAAAATTAGCTGGACGTGGTGGCACGTACCTGTAGTTCCAGCTAATCGGAAGGCTGAGGCGGACGGATCGCCTGAGCCCAGCAGATCAAGGCTGTGGTCGCCAAGAATGTGCCACTGCAGTCCAGCCTGGGTGACAGAGTGAGACTCCAACTCAAAAAAATAAAAATAAATAAAATAAAATTGTTTAAGCTATTAGGCAGGGCACAGTGACTGACACCTATAATCCCAGCACTTTGGGAGGCTGAAGTGAGAGGATTGCCTGAGCCCCCACAGGTTTGAGACCAGCCTGGGCAATTTGGCGAGACCTCATCTCTACAATAAATAAAAAAATTAGCCAGGCATGGTGGTGCGTGCCTATAGTTCCAGCTACTTGGAAGGCTGAGGCAGAAGGATTGCCTGAGCCCAGCTGGTTGACGCTGTGGTGGTGTGAGCGTGCCATTGCACTCCAGCCTGGGTGACAGCGTGAGACTCTGACTAAAAAAAAAATTAAAATTAAAAAATTAGCCAGGTGTGGTGGTACACACCTATAATCCCAGCTACTTGGAAGGCTGAGGCAGAAAGATCACCTAAGCCAAGGAAGTCAAGGCTGCAGTGAGATGTGATTTTGCCACTGCACTCCAGCCTTGGTGACAGGGTGAGACCCGGACTCAAAAAAAAAAAAAAAGTATTTATAGCAGAAGCAGGGCTCAAGATAATCATTATAGTTAATTTATATAACACTTTGAATTCAATTATTAATTTACTCTTTTTTCCAATTTGGAAATATGGTTATTCAGACAGCATGTAGACAAAAAAAACCATAACATCCCATTACTATAGGTATTCCAGATCCAAATAGGAATTAAGCTAATTCTCCATTTTCTGTCTTGGCTTTGCTTTCCTTTGTGAAAGCAAATGCAAACTACTACAGCCTTCTTGATTGTTTTGAAATGACTTGATTTTCTACTTTTTTCGCTTGACAGGTATATATTGTCCCCAGAGCTGCCATCTTTCGCAGTGATGATGCACTCAAGGAGTCAGCGGCCATGCTAAATAACATGCGTGTCTATGGTACAGCCTTCTTGGTCCTCATGGTATTAGTGGTATTTATCGGCGTACGCTATGTGAACAAGTTTGCCTCACTTTTCCTGGCCTGTGTCATTGTGTCCATATTGGCCATCTATGCTGGAGCCATCAAGTCTTCTTTTGCCCCTCCACACTTCCCGTACGTGTCTATCTCTCTGCCTAGCCATCATTATTGGGTAGTCATTGACAATACCTGATTATGTGATAATTTCAAGTCAGAATTTCATGGAATGTCTCTGAGATTTCCCTCGTGCATAAGCCCAGTTAGAGTTCCTTCCCAGTCTAGGCAAGAAACAAACTATGTCCTGTTGAGCCTCTTCCCTCTGTCCCAAGCAAAGAACTAGCATATATAATCATCATTTAGATACGGATATTAGGGTCCCCCTCGATAATGACTGTACATATTCTTTTTGTTATGAATGTACATATTTGAATTATTCATAAAGGGTTATACAAACAGTGTAGTTATTGCTAGCAACCTTTATAAGGTGTTTAAATATTAGATTTCTTGGCTAGACATGGTGGCAACTCCTATAATCCCAGCACTTTTGGAGGCTGAATCGGGAAGATTGCTTGAACTCAAGAGTTTGAGACCAGTCTACACAACATAGCAAGACCTTGTCTCTACAAAAACCAAAAAAATTAGCCAGGTGTGGTAGTATGTACTTGTCTAAACTACTTGGGGGCTGAGGCTGAAGGATTTCCTGAGCCCTGGAATTCAAGGCTGTGGTGAACCATGATCATGCCACTGCACTCCTGGCTGGGTAACAGAGTGAGACCCCAACTTAAATAAATAAATAATGTTAGATTTTATGTATGTATGTATGTGTTTATTTGAAGTCTCACTCTGGCACCAGGCTGAAGTACAGCTGCATACTCACAACTACCACAGCCTTGACCTGCTGGGCTCAGGTGATTCTTCCACCTCGGCCTTCCAAATAGCTGGAACTGCTGGCACATACCACCATGCCTGATTAATTTTTTGATTTATTGTAGTGACAAGGTCTCACCATGTTGCCCAGGCTGGTCTTGAATCTCTGGGCTCAGGCAATCCTCTTACCTCGGCCTTCCAAAGTGCTGGGATTACGGGCTTGAGTCACCGCGCCGGCCCAGGCTAGTTTTTTTTTTTTAATTTATTGTAGGGACAAGTTCTTTCCAAGTTGTCCAGGCTGGTCTCGAATCCCTGGGTTCAGACAGTCGTCTCACCTCTTCCTCCCAGAGTGCTGGGATTACAGGCGTGAGCCACCGTGCCCAGCCTGGATATCTTTTATTAATGAAAAATCAGGAGAGTCAAACAAATCTAAACTCTTTCTTAAATTTTTTAATTAATGTTTTATTTTGTAAGTACCATAATGAACTTTCTAGTCAAAAAATAAAGCAAAATAAATGTTAACATTATTTGCATGTATCTATATACTAGGGTGCAAAAAAAATGTATACACATTTTAAGAGATATATCTATGCAATACTTTTAGTTCACTGTAATCAGAAGTGTCTGGACACTGATGATAACCACCTTGAACACCTCTTGTAATTGCAGAAGTCAAATGTGACTTGGATTCATCTTTTGTTATTGGTATCTATTATTTAGTTTTAATACAGTATTTTCCTTTCTTAAAATGTGTGTACATTTTTTGCCACCCTATGTGTATAGATAATATTACATACTATAAGTAGTACAGGTACCCATTTTTCCAACTTTAGTTTTGTTTTATTTGTATAAATTTATGGGGTACAAATGTAATTTTGTTACACGCATAGATTGCATGGTGGTGAAGTCTGAGCTTTTAGGTAGTCGCCAAATAATGTACTTTGTACCCATTAAGTACATTAATACACCTTAAGGTGTATTTTTTGAAGTAGTAATGGATTTGTGCAGATCTAGGACTCATGAGTTCACCTGTTTTCCTTTTACTAATGGCAAAGAACTAGCTGGCACTGCATGTTGTTTGTAGTCTTGTTAACAGAGGTTGTCTTTGAAAAATCATCTGGATCTTCTGGGGACCAAATATATCAGTCCTATAGTGATTTAACCAGATTATAGAAAAATAGATTTTTCAAGACAGATCCACTGAAGTTTAATAACTTGCCCCAAAGTTAATTAATGGCAGAGCAAGAACATGAATCCTCTGATTTCCGGTTTTTTTTGTTGTTTTTTTGTTTTTGAGTTGGCGTCTCACTCTGTCACGTAGACTTGAGTGCAGTAGCACACTCACGGCCACCGCAGCCTCGACCTACTGAGCTCAGGTGATCCTTCCACCTCAGCCTTCCAAGTAACTGGAACTACAGGCACACACCACCACACCAGCTAATTTTTTGATTTATTGTAGAAATGAGGTCTCCCCAAGTTGCCCAGGCTGGTCTCGAACTCGTGGGCTCAGGTAAATCCTCTCACCTTGGCCTCCCAAAGTGCTGGGATTATAGGCGTGAGCAATCCTGTGATTTCTTGACTCCCCATTCAGTATTTCTTCTACTATGCCATGCTATATGATGTCAGATTTCATCATAAATTTTTAGTCTGCTTGTCTAGGGACTGTAAAATAGTTGAAGAGTCTTTTTAGAGTCATAGAAGTTCTAAAGTTGACATTCTGGCTATATCTCAACTTGGGAAGTTCTATTTTGTCTCAAATTCTCTTTTGAGGCATCCCCTCTTTTTTGGTTGGTGAAAGGTCATGATACATGGTATTTTCTTTAAGATATTCCAGCAAAACGAGACCAAAACCTAAAGGAATACATGAAACAAGACTGAGAAATGTTAAGAGTTGGTGAAGCTAATTAATAGGTTCATGGTTTATTATGTTTTGTATGCAGTCAATTTGCAGATTGTAAAAGTTGCTTTGTTTGATCTGAGAGGTAGTTTAACTGTGGGTGTATTATTCCTTTGTTAATATATATGTCTCTGGGTCAAAAAGAAAAATAAAATCACCAGTTAATGTTTGTATTATATTTAAACATTCTCACTCCCACTGGGTCTAGGCTTAAGTTCAAAAACAGTTTTCTCTTAGACCCTAGAGAAAGGTGCTTTTTAATTCCAGCCAAGCTGTTTTCCTCACAATAGCCAGAAGGTTCAATCTTTAGCATAATATTTTCAAAAGGATTTTTATAAACATAAGTTTTCTAGTCCCCCCCCCAAAAGGGGAATTTTTAAAAATAAAAAGAGCAAAAGGACTTTTTTAACCTAAAAATTTTGGAAGATGAGTCAGCATAGTATCTTTGGACAGTTGTTCAGTTTTAAATCTGTCACTGCCAGCTACTACCTATGACCTTAGGCTGAGTATTGTATTTCCCTAACCTTCAGTTAACTGCCTGACTCCTTGAACTTCAGTTCCTCTATCCATAACATAGAAAAATACATTGTGAGATCACTGTAGGGAATGAATTGTCAGAAAATGTCAGTCACTCTTCACAGCACTAAAATAAATTATAAATTTAAACAAATATTAGTTTCTTCCCACCCATATCAGTAGAAGCTCTTAGAGATGAGGGTTTTTTTTCTCTTTACTAACCTATTTCTTTTTTTTTTAATGTATTTTTTTTTCCCTGCTTGATCTTTCTCCCTATTTGTTTTCACTTAGGGTCTGCATGCTGGGTAACCGTACTCTTTCATCAAGACACATTGACATTTGCTCTAAGACCAAGGAAATTAACAACATGACAGTCCCATCAAAGTTATGGGGTTTTTTCTGTAACTCAAGTCAATTTTTCAATGCCACCTGTGATGAATACTTTGTTCACAATAATGTCACTTCAATCCAGGGCATTCCTGGATTGGCTAGTGGTATCATTACAGGTAAGTTAGGGGGTTATTATACAAACTTTTTCTTGTTCTCTGAGGAAAATAGACTTAGTCATCTTAGGCTCTTCTATTGTCCATGAGGATCGTCACCATGGTGCCACTTTCCTTCTTCAGCACAGCAAAAGCTCTTAACATATTTCTGCTTTTTCATAGTGTATGCTAAAATTTAACTCCATTTGGGAATAGAGCTGAGCAAATCAATTTTTAACCTAGGATAAATTAAAATATTCTGGGGTTGGATGTAGTGGCTCCCACCTGTAAGTGATTCCAGCACTTTGAGAGGTGGAGGTGGGAGGATTACTTGTGGCCATGAGACCAGCCTGAACTACATAGCAAGACCTCTTCTGTGCAAAAGATCAAAAAATTAGCCAAGTGAGGTGCATGTATTTGTAGTCCTAGCTACTTGGGAGGCTGAGGCAGGAGGATCACTTGGACTCAGGAGGTCAGGATTACAGTGAGCTGCGATCATGCTACTGCACTTTAGCCTAGGCGACAGAGCGAGACCCAGTAGCCTTATAAAATTGCCAATGTTCTTCCTGCATTGACAGCTAGAATAAAACTATTTTAATGTCACCACATCCACACCTGTGTTTTCTTAAAAAGATAAATTTCTGAAACTTTTTTCTTAAGTGACTTGTATCATAAATATTTGGTTCACAAATTTCTTTGCACTTAAGCAAGTTCACACTAAGATGTTAGAAACAGCATTGATGACTAATAAAAAGTAACAGTGGGTTTCATGGGGCATTCAGCTTTAGTCTGCTTAACTTTTATTAGTTTGCATTAGTTAACTGTATTTGTATGTACCAAAGCATTTTGTCATACTATATTTGAACTAGATGAGAAGAGGCATTATATTTCTACTTATGTGTGTTTTATTTATTGTGCAGTACATATGTTGTGTATAGGTGCTCATGTAGAAATAAGGGGTCTGATTTTGAATGTTGGTTGGGTGGGAAATTAGCTAATTATCTTCTTTCCATACTAATATTGCTTAAATTCCCTTTTTTCCCACTGCAGAGAATCTTTGGAGTAATTATCTACCCAAGGGAGAGATCATTGAAAAGCCCTCAGCTAAATCTGCTGATGTCTTAGGCAGCTTAAATCATGAATATGTTCTTGTTGACATTACCACCTCCTTCACTCTTCTGGTGGGAATCTTCTTTCCCTCTGTCACAGGTAAGCAGATGGACTGTTGTCTATTTTAGAAGCTATCGTACCCAAGGACTGATTTTTTATCAGGAGACAGAATTATAATCTTTTGGTTCCTAGATTTGCTTCTAGTCTTTGGTATTAGTATGAATGCAGTAGGGCGTGGTGGCTCACACCTGTAATCCCAGTGCTTTGAGAGGCCAAGCAGGAGGATAGCTTGATGCCAGGAGTTCAAAATCAGCCTGGGCAGCATAGCGAGAGCCCCTCATATCTGAAAATAATTTAAAAATTAGCCAGGCATGGCGGTGCACACCTGTAATCCTAGCTTCTCATGGGAGGCTGAGGTGGAAGGAATTCAAGGCTGCAGTGAGCTGTGATCACCACTGCACTCCAGCCTGGCTGACAGAGTGAGACTCCAACTCAAAAGAAGTTAAACAAAATTAAAAAAAAAATAATGATGATAATAGTGACGACAACAAAATGTCCAGGAACTCAAGAAGTTAACTTGATTTTTTTTTTCCCCCTTTCTTTAAAGGTATCATGGCTGGATCAAACAGATCTGGAGATCTGAAAGATGCTCAGAAGTCTATTCCCATTGGTACTATCCTTGCCATCCTTACCACCTCTTTTGTTTGTATCCTTTTCATGGATCCAGTTTAAGTCTTGGTCATAGGAATATCCAGTAGAACTAGGGTGATCAGTATTTTTATTCTGGTAATAAAGATACCTGCTTTCCACCACCTCACTTCTTATATAAAATCTCCCACTTCATATACAAAATTCAAGAAAAAATGTATGGGATTAGTTAACATAGCAATTCATTTTACTGAAAGAAGAAATATCCTGAATGTCTACTTAACATTTCATGTTATAGGGTAAACATTATTTTCCTTGATTCTCAATATGGTAGATTTAAGCAATGTTGTCCTTTTTGGTGCATGTATTGAAGGGGTTGTTCTCAGAGACAAGTGAGTAGTTAATTTCTTTGTAACAATTATATTTCTGTCTTTCATGACATCTGATCATCCCACATAGCTTCAGAACTGTTATAAATTTAACGACCCAACCTGAGATATCACTCATGACTAACAATAAGAAAATATATGTATATAGCTCCCAAAAAAGTTATTGAATAATAATAATAATATGTGAGTTATATTTATGTGATGTGATTTATATATAGCTCTTCAAAACAGTAAATTTCTTTGAATAATAAGGACTTCCCTGTTCATTAAGAACTGTTGAGGAATTAGACCAAAAGTAAAGGAAGGAAAGGTAAAAAAGAAAAAAAGTTTAAGTATCTCTAGCATCTCCTCTATGGGAGGTAAGTATCTATCTAATTCTGTTTGGAATTCCAAAGAAATACTTTCTTCATTTTCTTCACAAAGGCTGCTGAGTGGTTATGTTTACTTTCCTCTCACCTATGAGCATAAAATATGTTTTTGCAAGAGGTTCCTAGAGAAACCTACTATTCTCCTCTCATTCTCTCCATCTTGGTTAATAGCCTTACAATTCACTCCTCTCTCAAAACAGAAATGTAGGTGTCATTCTAGTCTTTTCTATCAAGTCCCTTATCCAGTTGGTTTCTAAGTCCTTTCAACCTCAATAGATCTCATTCTTTCCCCTATTCTTTATCCCCTCACTTTTTACAGGCCTTCGGGATTTTTTGCCTATGTTATAATAATCTCCCTTTCATTTTTACCACTTTCTAATCCTTCCACACTGCCACCAGAATGATTTTTCTAAAATGCAAAATGTGATCATACATACCTCCCTGCTTCACAGCCTGTCAAAGCCCCTTAAGACCCATCGCTGTGATTTGGCCCTCTCTGTCTCTTTCTACTCTTTTCATTTCATGTATTTATTTATTTATTTATTTGCCTCAGTTCTTGGTCTGAGCACTTTTGTCTACTCTTATTTCCTGCCATTTCCTCATAAGCTCCCGCTGCTCCAGCCGTAACTTAAACATGTCTTGTTGTTTCAGATCTTCATTCATCCACACATCTGTCTATTCTGTTTTCTTTGCTTCGAATGTGTTACTCATACTTGGCCAACTCATATTCATCCTCTAAAACTAGGCTAAGTATCTTTTCTCCTGTAAATCTTTAACCAAACAGATAACCACCTCTCCCTTTGTTCAGCCACTATATTTGAACATACTATATTGTAGCTCTTACTGTGCTATATTGCAGCTACTTGTTTTCATGTTACTCTTCCCTATAGATTAAACTCTTTGAGGATGGGAAGCCTAATCTATTTTCATATATTTGACAAAAATGAGTAGCACAGTGTGTGCATATATATCTATGTATGTGTATATGTGAGTATATGTAGCACAGTATATATGTGTATATATAGGATATAGTATATTACTTTACTATCAATGGGAAATTTATGGATTTATAGAGCATCAGTAAGTTATACCAAGATATAAAAATTATTACTGAGACTGTAAGTTAGAATATCATTTTGCAAAACTATTGGTCATTATCTCCTAAAGTTGAACATGCACACACCTGTGACTCAGCAATTCCACTTCTAGGTATATGCAACAAAAATGCATGCATATGTGCATCAGTAATTATGTACAAAAATTTTCATCATGATATTCTTAACAGCCAAAACCTGGAAGTATCCAAATGTCGATTAGTAGTATAATGAATAAGTTATGCATTCATGCAGTGGCAAACCATATAGCAATAAAAGTAAATAAACTACAGAAGTATACCCTCAAAAAATTTACAAAGAAAGCTAAATGGGGACAAAACCACAAAATATATGTACTGTTTCATTTATATAAAGTTTAAGAACAAGTAAAACTACATATTATTAAGAGTCAGGATAGTAGGGAGGAAGGAAGGGCTAGAGATTGAGAGTGAGTATAAAAGAGACTTTTGGGAGCTGGCAAGGTTTTATTTCCTGACCTTCGTGGTAGTTACATGGGTGTTTGCTTTATAGAAATCTTAAGATATACATTTGTTGGATGTTTTTTGTGTGTGATATTTAATAATTGTTAAAACAGTAAGTAATTGAACAGGGATGCCATGTTTCACCCATTGGATTAACAGTGACTTTAAAATTTTTATGTCCAATACTCATAACTGATACAGAATATTCATTTGCCAGACTTGAACCTTCGTATATTTCCTTTTTTTCTTTTTTTTTAAGTTGGAGTCTCACTCTGTTACCCAGGCTGGAGTAGTGCAATGGCATGCTCACGGCTACCCCAGCATCAACCTGCTGGGCTCTGGCAATCCTTCCACCTCAGCCTTCCAAGTAGCCAGAACTACAGGTGTGCACTACCACGCTCAGCTAATTTTTTTTTTTTTGTAGAAACGAGGTGTTGCCAAGTTGCCCAGGCTGGTCTCGAACCCATGGGCTCAGACAATCCGCTCGCCTTGGCCTCCCAAAGGCTGAGCCACTGAGCCCAGCCCATGTACTTCCAATAGGAGTAAAATTTAGTATAACCTTTAAGAAAAGCAGTTTGATAGTGATTTTTTGAGATGTCTTAAGATTCCTTTTGTTACAGTTATTCCCTCTTAAGAATCTGCCATAAGGAAAAAAAATGAAGTATGAACTTAGATATGTACATAAAGATGTTAATTATAGTGTTTTGTATAACAGAAACTCAGTGTTTTTGCTATGGTGAATAATGCTGTAATAAACATGCCTGTGTGGGTTATCTTTTTCATAGAGTAATTTGAGTTCCTTTGGGCATATTCCCAGAAGGGGGATTGCTGGGTCATATGGAAGGTCGATTTTTAGATCTTTTAGGAATCACTACACTGTTTTACACAGATGTACTAGTTTACACTCCCACCAACAGTGTAGAAGTGTTCCCTTTTCCCCACATCCTCTCCAGTATCTATTGTTTTTTGAGTTATTAATGATGGCCGTCCTGAATGGAGTTAAGTGGTATCTCGGTGTGGTTTTGATTTGCATTTCTTTGATGATTAGTGAGACTGAGCATTTTTTCATGTATCTGTTGGCTGCTCATATGTCTTCTTTTGAAAAGTGTGTATTCATATGTTTTACGCACTTTTTAATAGGGCTGTTTGTTTTTTTTCTTTTCGGCATGTTTGAGTTCCTTGTAGATCCTGGATGTAAGGCTTTTGTCAGATATATAGTTGGCGAATATTTTTTCACATTCTGTGGGCTGTCTCCGCACTCTCTTGATAGTTTTTTTGGCTTTGCAGAAGCTTTTCAGTTTGATGAGGCCCCACTTGTCTATTTTATCTCTTATGGCATGGGCACTTGAGGTTTTGATCAGGAATTGGTTGCCAGTTCCAATTTCCATAAGGCTGCCTCCTGCATTTTCTAAGGTTCTTATAATTGGAGGTTTTACGTTTAGGTCTTTGATCCATTTAGAGTTGATTTTTTTGTATGGTAATAGGTAGGGGTCATGTAACCTTCTGCATGTGGTCAGCCAGTTTTCCCAGTACCATTTACTGAATAAGTTCTCCTCTCTCCTGTGGTTGTTATTGGAGGCTTTGTCAAAGTTGAGTTGGTTGAGAAATTGAGATTTTGCTTCTGGAATCTCTAGCCCATTCCATTGTTCTATATGTCTGTTCTTCTACCAATACCAGGCTGTTTAGATTATTGTAGCCTTATAATAAAGTTTAAAGTCTGGAAGTGTGATACCTCCCACTTTTTTTTTTGCTGAGAATTGTTTTAGCTGTTCGTGGTCATTCATGTTTCCATATGAATTTCTGTATTGTTTCCAGTTCAGAGAAGAATGATACTGGTAATTTAATGGGTATTGCATTAAATCTGTAGGTTACCTTTGGTAGGATGGACATCCTAACAATATTCATCCTTCCAATCCGTGAGCATGGAATACTTTTCCATTTGCTTACATCGTCTTTGATTTCTTTGAGCAAGGTTTTATAGTTTCCTTGTAAAGGTCTTTCACTTCTCTGGTTAGGAAGATGCCAAGGTATTTCATTTTTTGGTTACTATTGTGAATGGGGTTGTGCTTTTTATTTGGTTCTCTGCCTGTTGTTGGTGTATAAGAATGCGATTGTCAGTTGAATGCGGTGGCTCATGCCAGTAATCCAAGCACTTTGGGAGGCGGAGGCAAGAGGATTGCCTGAGCTCACAGGTTTGAGACCAGCCTGGGCAAAATGGCAAGACCTTATCTCTACAATAAATAAAAAAATCGGCCTGGCATGGTGGCACATGCATGTAATTCCAGCTACTTGGAAGGCTGAGGCAGAGGGATCACCTGAGCCCAGCAGATCAAGGCTGTGGTAAGCCATTAGTGTGCTGCTGTACTCCAGTATGGGTGACAGAGTGAGACTCTGACTAAAAAAAAGAATGTGATTGTCTTTTGCACGTTGTTTTTTTACCCTGAGACTTTGCCAAAGTCCTTTATCAGTGCAATAGGGTTTTTAACGGGCCAGGCGCAGTGGCTCACACCTACAATCTCAGCACTTTGAGAGGCAGAGATAAGAGGATTGCCTGAACCCACCGGTTCAAGACCAGCCTGGGCAACTTGGTGAGATCTCATCTCTAAATAAATCAAAAATTAGCTGGGCATGGTGATGCACACCTGTGGCTCCAGCTACTTGGAAGACTGAGGTGGAAGGATTGCCTGAGCCCAGGCTCTGGTAGCCATGAACATACCATTGCACTCCAGTCTAGGTGACAGAGTGAGACTCTGACAAAAAAAAAGAGAATGTTTTAAACAGATTATCTTGGATTTTTGAGGTATAGAATCATATCAACAAAGAGGGATAACTTGACTTCCTCTTTTCCTATTTGGATACCCCGATTTCCTTCTCTTGTCTGATTGCTCTAGCTAGGACTTCCAACAAAAGATACCTACACATGCATGTTTACTGCAGCATTATTCACAATAGCAAAACCATGGAACCAACTGTGTTGCCCATCGAAAGTGGACTGTATTTTTTAAATGTGGTACATATACACAATGGAATATTACACAGCCATAAAGAAGGACAAAATTATGAACTTCACAGCCACTTAGATGGATCTCAAGTCTATAATACTCAGTGATCTATCACAGAAACAAAGAACTCAGTACCATATGTTCTCACTCATAAGTAGACCCTGAACAATTGTCATAATACTACAAGAAATGGATTTGCAGTGGTAGGAAACTGCTGGGGCAGGGGGCACACTTCATCAATTAGGGAACCTAATCTCAAACCACGTGAAGGGAGGCCCAAACTTTACCTTTACAGTGACCATTTGTACACCTAACCCTGAATTGTACCTGACATCTTTAAAATAAAAATAAAAAGTATTAGCGAACAACAATAAAAAAAACCCTTCAGCCGGGCTCGGTGGCTCAGCCTGTAATCTCAGCACTTTGGGAGGCCGAGGTGAGTGAATTGCCTGAGCCTGCAGGTTCGAGACCCGCCTGGGCAACTTGGCAAGACCTCATCTCTACAATAAATCAAAAATTAGCCGGTTGTGGTAGCGCGCACCTGTAGTTCCAGCTACTTGGAAGGCTGAGGCAGAAGGATCGCCGGAGCCTAGCAGGTCGAGGCTGCGGTAGCCGGGAGCGGCCCTGCACTCCAGTCTGGGCGACAGAGTGAGACTCCAACTCAAAAAAAAAAAAACCCTTCAACACTAGAAGAATGGATAATGTAAATTATGATGCAAGATTATTCAAACCACTAAAATTTTTACTCATTTTTCATAACATAGGAAAATGCTTATGTTTAAAAAGAATACAGAATTATAGGTGCAGTCAGATCTGTTTTTCTCCAAAGGCAGATATTTTGATAATCTGAAGGAGAAAGTTATCAATGAAGCTTAGCTTATTTTCTGGCTCCACAGGTAATTTTTTTCTTAATATAGGTCAACAGTGCCTTTCTACCTTTACATTTCTTAACATTCATGTCTTTCTCAATTTTGATTCTTTAAAAATTAAAATTAGACAAAAATTGGGTGAATGGCTCGCTCTTTAGTCTTTCAGTCTAAAGTTATTTCTAGATTAAATTTCTCCACTCTGTTTCCCAGGTTTGGTGACGCTGTGAAGGGTAATTTGGTAGTGGGTACCTTATCTTGGCCATCCCCGTGGGTGATTGTTATTGGCTCCTTCTTTTCAACATGTGGGGCTGGACTTCAGAGCCTCACAGGTGCACCAAGGCTGCTACAGGCTATTGCCAAGGATAACATCATACCATTTCTGAGGGTGAGTGACCCTTTTCTATGCCCTTATCTTTTTCCCCAACTTTTATGAGAAACAGCATGGTCTTCGTGGGCTTAGGAATTATTAGATCACAAATTTGGAGATGTGGGTTTTTAATACAAGACACTCTAAATCCCTACTTGAGTTTCATGTAATTGCCATAAAGACGCACTTTGGGAGGCCAAGGCGAGAGGACTGCCTGAGTCCAGGGGTTTGAGGCCATTGTGGGCAACTTGGTGAGACGTCATCTCTACAATAAATCAAAAAATTGGCTGGGCACGGTAGTGTGTGTCTGTAGTTCCAACTACTTGGAGGGCTGAGCCAGAAGGATCGTCTGAGTCCAGCAAATCGAGGCTGCAGTGGCCATGAGCATGCCACTGCACCCCAGCCTGGGCGACGGAGTGAGACTCCAACTCTAAAAAAAAAGAAAAAAAAGTCCAGACATGGTGGCTCACACTTATAATCTCAGCACTGTGGGAGGCCGAGGTGAGAGGATTCCCTGAGCCAGCAGATTCAAGACCAGGGTGGACAACTTGATGAGACCTCACTACAATAAATCAAAAATTAGCTGAGCATGGTGGCGCATGCCTGTACCTCCAGCTACTTGGAAGACTGAGGCAAAAGAATCACCTGAGCCCAGCAAGTTGAGGCTGTGGTGGCTATAAGCATGCTACTGTCCTCCAGCCTGGGTGACAGAGTGAGACTCCTACTCAAATAATAATAATGATATCACAGTTGTAACACTATTATCTTCCAGATGTCTGAAGCCATAGGATAAGATGAATCAGAGAGTATTGACTCAGTACTTTTATGTCTGAATTTCTCCTTCTATTTACAGGTTTTTGGCCACAGCAAAGCCAATGGGGAACCTACCTGGGCTTTACTTCTAACTGCTGCCATTGCAGAGCTGGGAATCCTTATTGCCTCCCTGGATCTTGTGGCCCCAATTCTTTCCATGTAAGAACCAGTTGTTCTCTTCAGTTATTCTTAATTAAATAAAATAATATGGAGCACATGTTGATTTCCATTAGTCATATAACAGTTAGTGATAACAACAGAGTAGGCCAAATGCAGGGGTAACTTCATTTAAGTAATAAATATTCCTGGGAACTGAGGACTTTAATGTAAAACTAACTTTTGTAAGTTATTATGATTTTTTCCTACATATATAACTTTAAAAGTTCTCTGCCTTCTTTTTTTGTTCTTTGTTTTTTTTTAAGTTGAGGCCTCACTGTGTTGCTGGGCTGCAGTGCAATGGCATGATCACGCCTCATTGCAGCCTTGACCTCTTGACCTCCTGGGCTCAGGCAGTCCTTCCACTTCAGCCTCCTGAGTAGCTAGGGCTACAAGTGTGCATCACAATACCTGGTTTGTTTGTTTGTTTGTTTGTTTGTTTGTTTGTTTGTTTTTGCAGAGAGGAGATCTTGCTGTTTCCCAGGCTGTTCTTGAACTCCTGGGCTCAAGTATTCCTCTGGCTTCAGCCTCACAAAGTGCTGGGATTACAGGCTTGAGCCACCATGCCTGACCTCTTTGAGTACTAAATCATTAGCAGTTGGTTGTAGCTTTTACCACTACTGTTAGCTTTATTCTTTCACCTGCTACTTACTGATGACTTTTACCTACTTGTTACTGTGTAATACAGCATTCTGGGAATACAAAGATAGATAAGACACAATCTTAAGGAACTGATAATAGATAAGAAAACCAATGACTCCCACATAGTGTGTAAGTGCCATGGTAAAGGTGAACACTGGATGTCACAGAGGCACCAAAGCAAGGCATCTCTAAACAAACAGACTCAAGAAGGATTTCCTGGAGGAAATGACATGTGTATCCTGAAGGATGATTGGTTATTTGCTAAGCAAAGAAGGGATAAAAATGTTCCAGGCAGAGAATCCATATAAAGGAATTAAGGAATGAAAAAGTATAGAATTGGAAATAATTTGGCTTGGCTAGAGTGGAGGATGCATGCTCGGAGAATAGCTGGTTAAAGAAGTAGATAGAGCTAGATCACACAAGATCTGGAAGTAGTGGGTAATCCTTTAAGAACAAAATGATAATGTTTTAGAATGATAAATTTGATATAAAAGACGGATTAGTAAGAGGCTAGAATTAATCTGGGAATGCTAGTTGGAAAGAAGAAATGAGAGCCTGAACTAAGGTGATTATAGTAGGGATGAAAGGAATATAAAGATGTTTAGAAATTTTTAACTAGGTAGGTTCTCTGGGACTTGAAAAGTGAATTTGGAACAAGTGTGAGTAAAGAAGAAGAAACCTGGATTATCCCAAGAACAACTGGGTAAACAGCTGTGCCACTGACTGAAAGAGAGCATAGGAGGATGAGCATGTTTGTGGGAAGGGATTCAAGTTTCTCTACTGCCTATTCAATCAAGGGTTACTGGTCTAGAAACAGACATCAATACAGCAAAGGTCTCATAACCATTTTACATCAAAGAATAATTTTACAATAATCTTTCTTTGGCCAGGCGTGGATCTCACACCTGTAATCCCAGCACTTTGGGAGGCTGAGGCAAGAGGATTGCCTGAACCCAGGAGTTCAAGACCATCCTGGGCAACTTGGCGAGACCTCATATCTATAATAAATAAATAAATAAGTAGCTGGGTGTCATGGCACACATGTCTGGTCCAGCTACTTGGAAGACTGAGGCAGAAGGATTGCCTGAGCCCAGCAGGCTGAGGCTGCGATGGCCATGAACATGCCACTGCACTCCACCCTGGGTGACAGTGAGACTCTGACTCAAAAAATCATCATCATCATTATCACATCTTGCTTCTTCTTATTTTTATTCTTCCAGGTTTTTCCTCATGTGTTACCTCTTTGTGAACTTAGCGTGTGCCTTGCAAACATTACTTCGAACACCCAACTGGAGACCCCGATTCCGCTACTATCACTGGTAAGTCTGGTCTTTTTTCTTGTTCTTTTTACCCACATTTGGAGAGAACCCATCATTGAACTAGAAAACTGAGAGTGAGGGTTTTCAATACAATGTTTTTTTGGCCAACCTTTCCATACTGTCTGTTTCAACTTTCAATTCCCATCTGAATCTCCATTTTCCTCTCCCATTTTTCTGTATCACATTGTAGTAACTTATAAACCCACTGAGGATAAAGATCAAAACTACACAATAGATATTTCTAACCTGCTACATTCTTCAGGTTGAAACAAACTTCCTAGCCATTGCTATACCATTGCCACTGCCATTGCCAGGCCATTGTGGCCACTGCCTTGCTAAGCTATGGTATAGCCATGTGCTCTCTGAGATATGGCCAGGCCATGATTCCTGGCTTTGGCCCATTCCCCTACCTTGAAGAGGTGACTCTCCTCTTTCTCTCTCTCTAATTTACTTTCTAAATAAACTATAATTTCTAACCTAAAGATAAATAAATAAATAAATAAAACTTCCCTTTGCATATCTATTTTCTCCTTCCCCTCTTAGGGCTCTGAAGTCTGGTAACCCAAGTTCAAATCTCAGCTGTACTATTTCTTTCCTGTGTAGTTTTCAACAAAGCACAAAGCCATGTACAATTTTATTTTACTCATCTGTAAAATGGGACTAGTAAATCTGAAGTGCTTAGCACAGTGCCTGGTATGTAGAAACTCTCAATGAAATGCTGCTGCTGTTGTGGTGGTGAAGTCTCCCCAGTCCTGAAGGAGTCATCATCAAAGAAAGTTTTTTACCTACCATCCCATCTCTTTTCTCTCATAGCTAAGAATTCTTTAATTAAGTCCTATATGTACCTGTTGCTACATTTTCTTTGCTAAATTTCTCCTTGATTCCTTTCTGGCCTCACCAATGGTGGGCAGTGATATGAAGTTTATTGGGCAAAAATTTAGATCTTCAACTGACTTTTAAGTCTTTCTAGCTTTAACTGTAAATAAAAGTTGATTATGAACATTTTTCTATGTTGCCGTTTTGCCTCTATTGATTTGCTCTCCATGTCTTTACCCTATATTTTCATTAGATCTTAGTTTTCTCCAGATTAACAACTTTAAAATTCATCATAAAGCTAGGAAGTTCATTCTGTACTCAGAAAAACTTTAGTTAATGTAGTTGTATACCTAATTTAACTGATCAAAACAACTATTTGATTTCTCTCTGCCAAGTTTCTGTTATGTACAGTCTAAAAAGTAAAAAAATTTTCTCAGTGGGCTCTGCAATTATGCTAATAAGTGTTCATACAAATTTTAGAACTATTTACATTTTAAAAATATATAATTAGTAATATTTCTGATAGCATGTTGCATTCTACTTTGCCAAGCAAGTATTAGTCATTGTCATAACTACAGATGACTTTAAGAGTGTCCCCATTCATTATATGTTTCTCTAGCAGTGGAAAACATCCTCCAGAGCAAAGGATAGGTGGGGCTCAGTGCATGTCTTCTACTGACTGTTGCCAGTCCATGGTAAGACAACTGCAGAATGAAGAATAGCATTTAGAAATTTTATAGAATTCAGCATTGCCATAGCACCAAGGCATGTGATAATTTTTCCTTCTTCCCTTTTTTTTGAGTCAGGGTCTCATTCTTTCTCCCAGCCTGGGTGCAATCATGGCTCACCGCAGCCTTGACCTTCCACCCCAGCCTCCCAAGTAGCTAGGACTATAGGCACACACTACCACACCTGACTAATTTTTTATTTTTTTGAAGAGACAAGGTCTTGCTATGTTGCCCAGGCTGGTCTCCAACTCCTAGGCTCAAGTAATCCTTCCACCTTAGCCTCCCAAAATGCTGGGATTACAAGCATGAGCAACCATGCGTGGCCAATAATTTTTCTAATAATTTTTATTGCATTTTACAAAAGTTCTGTCTAGGCTGTGCTCAGTGGCTCAGCCAGTAATCCCAGCACTTTGGGAGGCCAAGGCAAGTGGATTGCCTGAACCTGCGTGTTCAAGACCACCCCAGGCAGCTTGGTGAGACCTTGTCTCTACAATAAATCAAAAATTAGCTGGGTGTGGTAGCACGTGCCTGTAGCTCCAGCTACTTGGAAAGCTGAGGTGGAAGGGTCAACTGAGCCCAGGAGGTCAAGGCTGCGATGGCCGTGAGTGTGCCAGTGCATTCCGGCCTGGGTGTTGGAGTAAGATTCCAAGTCAAAAAAAAAAGTTCTGTCTATAATAGATTGGAAATTTTAAAAATAATAATCCCTCATCACAGATAGTTTGAGAAGCATTTCTAGCACAAGCCTCTTTTTCAGCTGCTTAAAAATAAATTTTTTATGTGTTTTTTGTTTTTAATTTTCTAGGGCCCTTTCTTTCATGGGAATGAGTATCTGTCTGGCTCTGATGTTCATTTCTTCCTGGTATTATGCCATTGTAGCTATGGTAATAGCTGGTATGATCTACAAGTACATCGAATACCAAGGGTAAGTATGGATTTGACCTTGATCATTGTTAAAAGTAGCAACACTTGGTAGTTTGGTTAGAGCCAGCCCAGTGAAAATTACATTAAGGACCCAAGTAAGTTCATGTGTTTATAACTAAATTTTAACCATCTTACATATGTAAGCTTTTTATCACAAGGGAAATCCGTTAAGAAAGTATGAATGGACTAATGTGGACATATCAGTACTAAACAAAATGTGGACATATCAGTACTAAACAAAATATAACACAAATGTAAATATTTTTGCTGATCTATTCAGTCAAGGGATTATCTCTGAAATAAAAAGAAATTAGTCCTGAGTAATTTTTTAATAACTAAGATCTCGCTAACAACTTCCAAAACTAAGAATAACATCCTGATTTAGAAGATTATATTGAATTTTACTTTCCCCCATTATTACAAAATAATTTAAGCTCTTGCTCTGTAATAATTTTTGAACCCAAATTAATATACATTATTGCTTTTGAACAGTTACATAGAAAGACTGTGTGAGTGACCCGTACAACCTTTCTTCTTTAACTGTGCTGTACAGTGCAGTCTGTTGGTACAGGGTGGTGGTGATCTGCCTCCAGTAGGTTAATTATGTTAGTAAAGGGCATTATATAAATCATTATATGGCTTTAATCTTCTACCCTGTGCATATGTTTCTTTTAGCTCTAGGAGAGAAAACAAATTTATTTTTTGAAATTTTACTTACTATAGTTTAAATCTGTCTCTGCTCTTTTCTCCTTATTCTCCCAGAGCTGAGAAAGAATGGGGTGATGGTATCCGTGGGCTGTCCCTCAGTGCAGCTCGGTTTGCTTTGCTTCGACTGGAGGAAGGACCTCCGCACACTAAAAATTGGAGGTAAAGAAATCATCATTAGTGGTGTTTGGCACATAATCAACACACAAAAATGTGTTCTTTGTTGATTACAGGATAAGGAAATCTCATGGCTTAAGAAGTGGTGAAATGAACCTGTTTTGAACTATTCAAAATCTTTGATTTCTTTCTTTTTTTTTTTTTTTTTTTTTGTAAAGACAGGGTCTTGCTATGTTGAGCTGACTGATCTCAAACTTCTAGACTCAAGCCATCTTCCTGTTGAGAGGAGATAGCTAGGGAAAGCTAGGCAGTCAGATAGGGTGGACCACCATAACAAAATAGCAAAACTTCCTGCAGGACTTTTGGGCTGATACACTTAAGTTGGTAAACAAGCTCTGTATAAGACTCACAAGCTAGAGCTTAAGTACTTACTGCTGGGATAGAAAAGCAACTATTCAGCTCACCATTAGGCCCCTACCACCTGCCCAGTGGCTCTTAGTATGGACCAATCAGCACAGGCAGTGCTGACCAATCAGCTCACAGCTAGTGCTAACCTATTGACTGGGTGTTAAAGGTTATAGAAGCACCAGGTTTTCAGCTCCAAATAGGCAACCACCTCAGGACCCCTCTGCTCTGGGAACTTTTCTGTTCTCTCAACAAATCCTGCTTTCCCGCCTTTCGACTGTGTCCCTCCTGAGCACAAGAGGAGAACCCAGACCTGCAGTGCTGTAGAAGATCATCTGAGCTGAAGAGCAGTGCACTCCGGAGTCAGCTGAACCAGGCGCTCCAAAGCTGAGACACTTCTGGGGGCTGGCTTGCCAGCCCATGGAATCAGCAGCACCTACAGGGGTTGGCTTGCCAGCTCATTGGAGCCAACACTCCTGGGGCTAGGCTTACCAGACCATTGAGCTGGCACTCTTTGGAGTTCGGCTTGCTGACCCAATGAGCTGTCACTCTCAGAGCCCAGGCTATACCGAAAAATTCGTATCACTGTCTCTGTCTCCCAAAGAACTGGGATTATAGGCATGAGCCATCACGCCCAGCCAAAATCCTTGATTTCTTTATTCCCTTCTCTTCATGTGATTAATGATCTAGATTTCTACCTTTTGTTATTCTTCCTTGAAGACTGATAAATTTGAGATATTACTGGGGGCATTCAAAATAACTCAGTACTATCATTTCATCCTATCATTTCCTCTGATCTCTTTCCTTTGTCAAATTACATGTTTTGTATATATCTCCTAAATTAAAGGGCAGAGTTTATCGTTCTGTTGCCCACACCCAAAGTGTCTTCTTTCTTCTGCCCCCTGCCAACCTCTTCACAGGCCTCAGTTGCTTGTATTACTGAAACTAGATGAAGACTTACATGTCAAGCATCCTCGCCTCCTCACCTTTGCCTCACAACTCAAAGCAGGAAAGGGTCTCACTATCGTGGGCTCTGTCATTGTCGGGAACTTCCTAGAGAACTATGGTGAAGCTTTAGCTGCTGAGCAGGTAAGTGTCAAGACTTGATTTAGTGGAACTTAGCTTACAGCTTTGTGTGGTTTTATAGTAAAACCTCAGACTTCTAAGTTAATTTTGTTCCTAGGTGATCTAGTTTCCCACTTAGTGCTGACTTTAGAACAATCATTTTCTCCCAAATAACAAGATGAACGAGAAGATGGTTATTATTTCTTCCCATTTAAAGTGTTACTATACTGTAAGATTATTGAACCTTAATATTATTTGCAAATAGACTCCAAATATTGACCTGAGCACTGAGAAGAGTCATGTAAATAAATATATCCCTTGAACTAGGGGAGGAACCCTCTGAATTTTGTGACAAGGAGCAACTTTTCTTCCTTTTTTCTGATCTATGTGGTATGAGCAAGATTCCTTTACTACTTCTGTATTAACTGTACTGAATATCAAAGTTCTGCCTTAAGAAGGAAGTAGTAGCTAGGCGTGGTGGCTCACGCCTGTAATCCCAGCACTTTGGGAGGTGGAAACTAGAGGATTGCCTGAGCCCATGCGTTCGAGACCAGCCTGGGCAATATGGCAAGACCTCATCATTACAATAAATCGAAAACTTAGCCAGGTGTGGTGGTGCACATCTGTAGTTTCAGCTACTTGGAAGGCTGAGGTAGGATTCCCTGAACCTACCAGGTCAAGGCTGTGGTAGCCATGAGCATGCCACTGCACTCCAGCCTGTACAACAGTGAGACTCCGACTCAAAAAAAAAAAGGGGGAAGTAGTTTGCATTCTGTTGCTTGTTATAAATGATAGAATTAATCCTGTTATTTGGAGAAATTTTCTATTGAATTTTTAAAATTTTACTGGGTTTTATCTTGGAATGCTTTGAAACTCTAAAAATGAGAAATGATGAAGAAACATTAGTCCAGAATGGTGGTAAAAATAAAAAGTGCACAGGATTGCAAATCAGGAGAGCATGGTTCTTACCTTAGCTACATTGATGTAATCCGTGCCTTTAGGAAAATGATTCCATTTTCCACACCATTATTCCCTTCCTTTTTCCACCAGGAGGGTGGAGTAAATGAGATGCTATCTCCAATTGACTAAACAAAAGAATAGTAAAGCGTATATGTGTCATCAGTAATCACCATTAAACTATCAAAAGGTATATGAGAATGAGAGAAGCAAAAAGAAGACATACCTGACAAAATTCTAAAGTGAAACTGAATCATCAGATTGAATTTCTGGTAAGATGAGTCAGGGCATGACTAGGGCTGAGGCAGGAAGGCGGTCACATTCACAGTAGGGAATCACCCTGGTCAACTGAGAAAGAATGTTGAATATTCACTTTGTGGAGATCTCTGTTCTCAATTTTTTGGTTTGTTACAAAGGAAGAAAAGCAAAATAGAGTAAAAGGTAAACTATATGTAGAAAACTAACTGTAGAAGTAAAAATATGTAGTCAGCACATCAAAAGTAGAAAAAGACAAGGGATCATGAAATTTCATTGGGATAATCTTGACTTTTTGGACTTTTCTATAGGAGATACAGTCTTATGCAGAGTTTAGAAACAGGAGGGGAATATAAATGGGAAGGAATAGTGTGTTAATAAAAGGTTCAGGGTGAAGCAGTTCAATGTTCAGGTCCTGTGTCTCTTTCAGACCATAAAGCACCTAATGGAGGCAGAGAAGGTAAAAGGATTCTGCCAGCTGGTGGTGGCCGCCAAGCTGAGAGAGGGCATTTCCCACCTCATCCAGTCATGTGGCCTTGGGGGCATGAAGCACAACACAGTGGTGATGGGCTGGCCTAATGGATGGCGCCAAAGTGAAGATGCTCGCGCTTGGAAGACTTTTATTGGTACAGAACATTTCTCATATTAACCTGAGGGTCCAAATAGGGGATCTAGCTAAATCCCTGTCACCCCTAGCCTCCTAGAGACTGTGCCATTTCAAAAAAAAACTACTAGTAATAATAACAAGATTCTACCAACCCTGTCAAGCTTTATAATATGTTCATGAATTGTTCATCTTTGTCAAGTCTTGTGCTAAGAATTATCTCCAAAATGGCCATGTTTTCATTTGTGATTTCCCATATTCATGCTGTCACAGGAATTGGAAGGATTGTTCTTCAGTATCAAAATCTCCCAAATTCACATATCCCCCCCTTAGAAATGTAATTATCAGAATTTAGCCAGTAATATAAACTATGGCCCAAATCTAATTCTATTAACTATTCAGATTTTTCTCAATGATTTTTGTTATTTAATGAGATATAATCTACTATGTAAATAGGATACCTTGCTCAAGGAAATGTAAAGAGTATTATCCCTGCTTTCTTGACATTGTGGGTAGCAAGGCAAGCCTAAGTAAGGATTCTTCTCTGCTTATTCTGATTATCTCTTTTTTTCTCCCTAGGCACAGTTCGAGTGACAACTGCTGCCCATCTCGCCCTGCTGGTAGCTAAAAATGTCTCCTTCTTTCCCAGCAATGTGGAGCAATTTTCTGAGGGCAACATTGATGTGTGGTGGATTGTGCATGATGGTGGGATGCTCATGCTACTACCATTCCTACTGAAACAGCACAAGGTATTTTAGAGAATGTTTTAAAAAGTCTGGTTCTGTCCTGGTTCACTAGACGAATTCTTCCTCTTTGGCTATATTGTGTTGGGGCTTAGAATCAGAAGAGTTGGCGATTATTCTTGGCTCTCCCATGATCCCACTTTCAACTTTATGGGAAATCGTTGTCTTTGTGTTTGTTTCCTATGTCCAAGTGTAACTTAGTAAATTAATAAAGTTCCATATGAACCCTTGAGAAAACCAATAAGTGAACCTATCTTTAAAAAAAAACACTGGATCTGGGTGCAGTGACTCACACCTGTAATCCCAGCCCTTTGGGAGATGGAGACGAGAGGCTTGCCTGAGCCCAGGGGTTCAAGACCAGCCTGAGCAACTTGATGAGACCCTCATCTCTACAATAAATAAAAAAATTACTCAGGCATGGTGGCTCGTGCCTGTGGTTCCAGCCACTTAGAAGGCTGAGGCAGAAGGATCTCCTAAGCCCAGCAGGTCAAGGCCACAGTGGCTGTGAGCATCCATCCACTTACTCCAGCCTGGGCAACAGAGTGAGACTCCAACTCAAAAAAATTAAATTAAATTAAAATAAACAAACACTGGGAATTTTAAGGTGTGTGTGTGTGTGTGTGTGTGTGTGTGTGTGTGTGTGTGTGTGTGTGTGTGTATTTTACATACATATATGCTCATCTTTTGGTAAGACTAAACTGAAATTTAAAATAGTGAATATTGACTGGGCACACCTGCAATTCTAGCACTTTGGGAAGCTCAGGCAGGAGAATTGCTTGAACTCAGGAGCTCAAGACCAGCCTGGGCAACATAGTGAGATTCCTGTGTATGCCAAAAAAATTTAGCCATTAGCTAGGCATGGTGGTGCACACCTGTAGTCCCAGCTACTCAGAAGACAGAGGTGGGAGGATCACTTGAGCCCAGGAGGTCAAGACTGCAGTGAGCTGGGATCATGCCACTGCACTCCAACCTGGGCAATAGAGTAAGACCCTCTCTCAAAAAAGGAAGTTAGAGTCTGCATGGTGTCCTTAATGTACTATCTGAATAAAGCACCTTCTTAATGTATCACAAGCCATCTTTTCCTTTTTGCCATTTTTGTGTTACGAAATAAGAACTCCTTAAAAAAGTATTGAGTGTGTTCTTTAGCCATTTTTTGCTCTAGCATAATAACACAGCAAGTGGAAATCTAGGAGCAAATACCCTTATACCAAAGCAAGGTGGTTCTAGGCCCCAGTGCCTCATGTTTTAGGAAATAACTTCTTTGCCTTTTTGCATCTACTTTTCCTTGTGTGTATGGCACCTTCTCAGGTGTGGCGAAAGTGCAGCATACGGATCTTCACAGTAGCCCAACTAGAAGACAACAGTATCCAGATGAAGAAGGACCTAGCCACCTTCCTGTATCACCTACGCATTGAGGCAGAGGTGGAAGTTGTGGAGATGGTGAGAAAGCCAAGTCTGAGATAGAAGAGATGACCATTCCCCCATTCCCCTGTCCCCTCACTTTGTCTTCCTTGAACCTTTTCTAGTTTGGGAACTTGTTGAACTGCAAATGTGGATTAATGCCCTAGTACCAAAGGAGCCCTCATTTGTTGACCTCCATAGAATGTGTACATTATGTGTGTTTGATGTTGCTTTTTGTTTTTGCTTTCTTGTTTATCACACAGCCCTTATATTTCTGCCAGATTCTTATGTTTAATATAATTTTGTTTAATTCATATATTCATGCTTAAAATCATACATGCCTTTAAAAAATAATAATAATAACTTATTTTTTAAGGAGAGAGAGATACTAGAGTTTGTGGTTTTGTGTTTCAAGGAATCACATGTAATGGTTAGATTATGGAAAAGACTCAGAGGGCCTCTGGATTTTATCTATAATCAAAAAACATTTTGGGGGCCAGGTGCAGCTGTGCATGTCTGTAATCCCAGCACTTTGGGAGGCCAGAGTGGGTGGATCGTTTGAGGCCAGGAGTTCAAAACCACCCTGGGCAACGTATCGAGACCCTATCTCTAAAATAAAAAAAAAAATTGTAACTCAAGCAGTCGGGGTAACAAAATTGGGGTAAAACTTAGGTTAATATTTGATGCTGTCTCTGATTTAATGTAGTGAGTGGAAATAACAATGTACGGTTCTTTCTCCTTTGTGCTTATTGCCCACATTGTGTGATGTCTGTGGTAGCATGACAGTGACATATCAGCTTATACTTATGAGCGTACTCTAATGATGGAGCAAAGGTCCCAGATGCTTCGGCACATGCGACTGTCCAAAACAGAGCGAGACAGAGAGGTGAGACCTTAATGCATCAATTCAATCCTAGCCTTACAGTGTCTGTCACTGAAAGGGATGATACTGTATTGTTTTCACAGGACTACAAATTCTTTCCTTCTTACTTTGTTATTCCACTATAACCCCATTATTATTTCGAAATAATTGAAGATGAAGCATGAGAAAAAAATAGAAATAACTGTGTTGGACCTTCCTCAGGCACAGTTAGTGAAAGACCGGAACTCAATGTTACGATTGACCAGCATTGGCTCTGATGAAGATGAAGAGACAGAAACTTATCAGGAGAAGGTACACATGACTTGGACAAAAGACAAGTACATGGCATCCCGAGGGCAAAAAGCCAAGTCAATGGAAGGATTCCAGGACCTGCTTAACATGCGTCCGTAAGTTTTCCCACTCACAAGCTTTCACATAATAAAATAACCTAGTCAGGAGCACAGATGTGTCTTTGCCTGGACACATGGGATGGAGCCTGTTCTTCATTTCACCCCACATCCAGCCATATCTTTATTGTTGCTTACCAGTTCCCAATTATACACAAGCTAACCATCCTTTCTCTCCACATAGTTCACCTCCATACTGTGTTCTTAGTATAAAATAAGCAAATGTAGAATGAGAAAACCAATAATAAAATCAATGGTATTAGTATAATTAGTATAATCAATGGTATTAGTATAATAATTGTTTACCACATTATCCATAGTTAAGTGAAAAAACTCTGGATTTCAAGTTTTTAAGTTTGACTATATAGTTAGATTTCCTTTGCCTTAACTACTTAATTTCTTCCCCATCCAGCGACCAGTCCAATGTGAGGCGCATGCATACAGCAGTGAAGCTCAATGAGGTTATAGTTAACAAGTCCCATGAAGCAAAGCTGGTTTTGCTGAATATGCCAGGGCCACCTCGAAACCCTGAGGGTGATGAAAACTGTATCCTTTCCAAGAGTGGAGCTGCCAGTAGGGAACATCTTCTTAGCCTCTTTCTTAGATGAGACAATTAGGTGACTATGAGTCATTGTCTACGCCCCAGTTTCTTTCTTTCTTTTTTTTTGAGTCGGAGTCTCACTCTGTCACCCAGGCTGGAGTGCAGTGGCCTGCTCACAGCTACTGCAGCCTCAACCTGCTGGGCTCAGGCAATCCTTCCACCTCAGCCTTCCAAGTAGCTGGGACTACAGGCATGCACCATATAAAGTCATGATATTAATCTCTTAGGGGAGAAAGAATTGTAATATATTTTCTCTGATCCCTGAAAAACTTTTTAGGTGGTATATTTACAACATGACTGCTGATATTCAGTGTACAGAACCCTTTCTGACAATCCTAGAGACAGAGTACCCAACATCCTTTTTTCAGGCTCTACCACTTTGCAAACCCCTTCTTTCTTTTGGATAGAGTTAAGGTAAAAGCAGCTTAGGCAGAATCTCCTTAAACTGAGGGGGAAAAGAGATAGGAATTCTTCCTCATACCATCACCCTAGGATTGTTTTTATGGGGACCATTCAGTAGTGACCTAGCCTTGCCCATTCCCACCAATAATGCTAAGGAAGAGATTTTTAAAAACGAGGAGGCTGGGCATGGTGACCCATGCCTAAAATTCCAGCACTTTAGGAGGCTGAGGCAGGAGGATTGCTTGAGCCCAAGAGTTTGAGACCAGCCTAGGCAACACAGCAAGACCTCATCTCTACAAAAAATAAAAAGGAAAAGGAAAAATAAACTGACAGAGAAGTCTGACTTAAGCAGCTTTACTTAGACATTACTTGGGTTATCTCCAGGAATCCCTATTATGGCATTATTTTTTTTTCTTTTTTGGGGGGGCATTTTTGTCTTATTTTATTATTTAGAATAACATATTGTTGATTCTCCATTTTAAATATTTAGAAAATATATAACAAATGGGAGTCTTGTATTATGTATGCAAAAGAATTAGATTCCTGGATGACTTCACAGGGAAAACGGAATTAAAAATTCAGACTTTTCTGAGTATGTAATTAAAGTATGCTCATTTTGTAGCCCTATGATCAGAAAAACTCAGATGATGATGTCAGGTTGTAAATTTGTGTTCGTCTTTTGCCTGTTTGTCTCCTTGACAAGTTCTGAAGACATGGAATTCCTAGAAGTGCTCACCGAGGGACTAGAGCGAGTCCTCCTTGTCCGGGGTGGTGGCAGTGAGGTGATCACCATTTATTCATAATCTACTGAATGACTGTGCCTGGCCTCGCATTTCCTAAAAGGCCTACATCTTCCATGGAAGTGCCAGCTCTTTACTACCACTCCCACTCAATGGAGGCCTATGCTCTGTAAACATCACACTGAACCCTTGATGCACAGAGTCTCAAGCACTTGGGCGAGAGTACAAATAGATCTACTCTTTGCTCCCATATGATCTGCAGTCCTTACAGAAAAAGAAACTATTTCTTCAACATCAGAACAATGGTCAAGTCCTAAAGGCATGTCTGACCAGTTAAAGGCAAGTTAGAATTAACAAGCTGAGCCAATAAATTGGTAGAAGGGATGCTAGAAATTCAACTGAAGACAAAGAATAACATTAAAGATGTCTCAGAAGTCATGATTCAATAACACCATGGGGGTACACAGCATCATCTTACTAAATAATTCAATATGGGGACCTAGTATCCTTGTGGAGATATAACCCATGTCTAGCCAAGATGGAAGCACTTTTAGCTAATTTTCTTTAGTGTACCTACTGCTCTCCTCTAATTTTATATTAGGGTAATAATGTACAAAACCTGAAACATAGCTGCAGCCTCTACTTCTTCCTTGAAAATGAGATTCCTTCAACATACCATGTTTAAGTATCCATGCTGTCAGTGTATATCTCAGCTGTTTGTTTCTCTTAACCCAAACCCATTTTGTTATAAGCAGTGTTACCACCATAGAAATTGTTTTTTGAAAGGTAAAAATTATTTCTTTCAGATTCTTTTTCAAATGGCTGAACTAAGGAAATTCCAAAGGAAGCTATTAAAATTTATTGAAATACAATTCCAAAAGGAAGCTATTAAAATTTATTGAAATACAGTATGTGGTTCTCTATGCAACACGGACAAAACATACAAGCTATCTAAGAAATACAGGTCATGATGCACATTGACCAGTAGGTTCTCCTTTCCTTTTCCTTTGTTATGTCCTGAATTAGTAGGCACAGGTTAAAAAATCTTAAGGAACAAATACTAGGAAGACTGGCTAACATCCTTCCCTGAAAACTGTGAACCATCTTTTAAAGGGAGAATCTAGCAATGGAATTGGAAGTTCTAGAGCCATACTCTTTCCACAGTGCCAAAGTTATTGAGCTGCTACTCTCCTTACCTACTTCACTAAAGTGGCATACAGATTGGCATCGGCCTGATTCAAGAAACTTTCCTTTCATGAAGAAATCTGTGGCCTCATCTCCAAAGCCATAGTTGAGACTTGAGGTACTCAAGACCCAAAGTATAGGCATATTCCCCTTTTCCTTTCAATTTTATTCTTCATTCTGACTGCAAAAACTTGGCTCTGAACTAAGAGATTATCCAAGCCAAAAGTCTTCTATTTCAGTTTTGTTTTCAGACAGCTCTAAATGTGCCAAGGAAATATTTGTACAAGCTCAGCTTTTTATGTACTGATTTACTAATCACAAAACATCTGGCTTATAAGCATGAGAAAACTACCTATGTGGCTGGCTGAGCAGTAATTTAAAGCATGTGAAATCTCCATTTCTTTTACAGGATGGGTATTTAGAGAAACTGTCTTCTTGGCTATACTCATGGCTGTTTTTGAATTTCGCTTTATTAATGACAAATAGTGCCACTCTTCTTTGATTACCCAATAGGATATGGAGCAAGATGACCTAGGTGTCTCAAAGTATTCATTGACCTGTAAGGACAGAGAAGAAAACTCTTCATTATGGCTTGAGAAGTTGAGTCATTTTGATTTGCTCCCTTTGCTCTTAATTCAACCTTCAGACCCACTCAGGGTAGTAAAGCAGACAGGATCTTAAGTCTTTTTTTTTCCTGCTCCTTCCTGCAGCGGGTAAAAGCATTGTTTACAACTCCCACCACAACACTCCATTGCTTAGTTGAGTATGTCAGTAGTGGGTCAGGTCCCCGGGACCCAAGATATTACTGTAAAGGTTCACCTGCACCAGAACCCCCTTACATTTATGCATCCTTCTGGTAAAATGATATTTTTCTCATATGGAACAAATATGGACAGAAAATAAGGTTTTGGAAGTGCTATTTGTGTTTGTAGCTCTGTAAAAATCTTTTAAAGGGATAAGAAAATTAGTGGCTATTGATCTAGCTACTCCTTCAGCCCCTAAAACACAAAATCACTGTTACATGGGAAGATGGTTATTAGGCCAGATTTATACTCATCTCTGTCTAGAGCATTTCATGTCTATGTGTGTTGCTTATGTTGTGTCTCCAACATGTCTTGTCTCTTAATCACTGCAAATAAAGCAATACTGAAAACTTGATGAGAGAGAATGCACCTTAGGGGAAGGGGTTTTGTGTTTCAAGAAGGAAGAAAAAGACCTCCTCCTGCCTTTTGAATAAGATCCAGCTTTTAAGTCTTACCTATGACTTTACCAGGGCAGGTTATATAATAAATATTCTCCTACTGCTAGCCCTCTGCCTTCCATAGCTATCTTAAAAGCTGAAGTTTGAACTGCAGCATCTGCTCGACAGGCGCCAAGTTCCTCTTGGCAGGGGAAAGATCACTCCATATATCTTCCGTTGCCTCAGATTCCTGTGGCCCCAAGGATCCCACCAATCCTCATTCCCCCAAACATGTTAAGAATCCCTTATTGTGGTGTTAAAATACCAATTACACTATTAGCGTATTTATGTTCTGTTTTTGTCTGGTTTATTTTTCTTTTAATCATGTATAATCTGAATCAAGCATTAGTTTCTCATATCTTCCACAAGTGTCTACAACAGAATTTTTGTTCCAGCTTGTATTAAATAGAAGTGAAATATTAAGGAAAATAGATTTAAGGGAAACTTGTACAACTTTTTCTTAAGCATTGTTCTCAACCATTTAATTTATTAAAAAGAGATGCTGCTACAGTTCTTGATTTAGCAGCAACCACTCATTTGTTTACATAGAGTTACGGTTTTGTTTTGCTCTGTACTGGAAACATAAATAAAGTTTTCTACATTATTTTCAGTCAGAGTTGTGGTATTGTTTCTTTTTGTTTGTAGTAGTATGCACATTGTCTTTCTAGAATCTATCTCCTCACCATGGAGAAAAGAAAGCTTTTCAGTTATTTTATTTTCAACATGAGTGTTTCAATGTTAAGAGGGAGTATGCTGAGGAGCCACTGGGCTTAAAGAAGGCTATAAATAAGACCCAAATACATAGGCACACCAGGTGCTTCCTTCTCAGGCTCACAAAAGCAGTCCTCCACCACTGAATTCCATCCTCTGAAAGAAAAAAAAGGAAACAAGTGAGTGGGAATGTTAAATAACTTCCTAAACCAATTACTTAATACTTGAATCACAAGCCTATTTTGCCTTGTCCTTAAAGATAACTTCCAAACTACTAATGGCTCTTACTTCTTAAGAAACAAACTCTAACTCCCCACCGCCAAGTAGGTTGGCTGTTCACTGTACATTACAATGACCCAAAATACAACTTTTCTTTTGCCTTACCTCAGGGGGCTCGATGAAGGCTAACCAATCTGATGCATGTGTAGGCAGTAGTCCCATGGACTGGCACTTATAAACAGCCAATGCCAAACCCATCAGGTTCCCGATGAGATAGACCAAACCCTGAAGAAACTTCTGGCTTGAACTTTCTAACATCTTGAAAGCTGTTGGGGGTAACAGAAGCTGTCAAAACCAAAACAACTTTTTTTCCCTAATATGAATCAAGCCAACCATATATTAAAATACAGACAGACCCAGAGTAAGAGAGCAAATAGTACCACTAAAGAACAGAAAACCATACATAGTAAGCACCATTTATCCCTCCGTGATACCACTACTACCACCACCACCCTGTACATCCTCTGGCTAAAAACTGTGCCTAAGAATTTGTCTTTGGTTCTTAAAACTGAGAGAAGGGTTATTTCAAAAATACTTACTGGCTGAAATGGCCATAAGTGCCTGAATGGGTCGCCAGGCCATCATGCACACCATCATAGTAGGGAAGATGGAGATAGTATTGCCTGCCATGTACATGATGAAGAGGTTCATGGGAATCTGTTTGAGGGGACCCAAGGCAATGTCCCAGCAGCGCTAAAGCAAACACACAATTTTAACATCTGTATCACTGCCCCCAGTCCCACATTTACTGTATCACTGATGCTAAAGTCAAATGAACAGTACTCCCAATTCCCTAATTCTGATTTAGCTGACTCCTCAAACCTACCACCTCTTTCATGTTGCCACAGGAACATTCTTTCTTCTAAAGGTAAGGCACCCTCACCAGCTGTTAGGCTTTTCAGATGCGACTTTCCCTTATTTTAGCTTTAAAAAAAAAAAAAAAAAAAAAGCCCTGCTTTTGTCTTTGTACTTCTATATCATTGTTCCATCTACAACTGAAGAAATGGTAAATCCACATTTCAAGATTAGCATGCCTCAATCAATAACTAATATACTATCAAACGCTTTAGTTCCAAGAAAGAAAAAAAAAAAACAGAACTAGTGGACAAATGAAGGCAATGATTTCAATTATATTAACAAACTCAACCAACTGACATGTAGCACTGTACCCAACAACTGCAGAAATCACAATCTTTTCAAACGTGGGATATTTACAGAAACCACTTGCTAAGCCATAGAAAAGATGTCAATCTCTAACAACTTGAAATATACCAAACATATTCTTTGACTACAATGCAGTTAAACTAGAAATTCAAAATTCCCCTGTTTTGGAATTAATGAATGTTTCCAAATAATCTATGAATGAAAGAAATTAAAATGAAAAATAGGAATGTTGTTACCAACAGCAAAAATATCACATATTAAAACTTTTTTCTAGTGGGACACTAGAGCTTGGAGAAATTTATAACCTTAAATACATACCAAAAGACTAAAAAGTTAGGTTCAGTGACTCATACCTATAATCCCAGCACTTTGGGAGGAAGAGGCAAGAGGACTGACTGAGTCCAGGGATTCAAAACTAGCCTGGGCAACTTGGCAAGACCTCATCTCTACAATAAATTAAAAAATTAGCACGTGGTGTTACGTGCCTGTGGTTCCAGCTACTTGAAAGGCTCGAGCCCAGCAGATCAAGGCTGCAGTGGCCACGAGTGTGCCACTGCATTCCAGCCTGGACGATGGAGTGAGACTTCTGCTCAAAAAGCAACAACAAAAAAAAAATTAAGCATTCACTTCAAGAAGATAGAAAAGGAACAAATTAAATCCAAGGATTTAGGAAAAAAACAAGATAGCAGAAATAAATGAAATAAAACCAACAGTGCCAAAGGTATTTATTGGGAGATTAATAAAATCAATACTGGTGAGCCTAATGAAAGGTGAGGAGACAAATATCAACATCAGGAATAAGTACATCTCCACAGATTCTGCAGACATTAAAGTGATCATATTATGAACAACTTAATGTCAATACATTTGAAATTTTAGAAAACAGATAAATTCCTAGAAAAAAATGACATACCAAAATGGCTTAAGAAAGCAGAACTATAAACAGCCCATAAGTTAAAGACATTAAGTGTATTTAAGCCCAGATGGCTTCCCTTGGCAAATTCTACTAAACATTTAAGGGAAAAGTAAAGCTAATCTTACATAAACTCAGAGAACTAAAAAAATGAGCATTCTACAACTCATTACATAGGGTCGAATAGATATCAAAACCAAGGACATTATGAGAAAAGTTTATAGGCCAATATCACTCATGAATCAAAATGAAAAAAATCTTAAACAAAATATTAAAGTAAATCTAGATATTTAAAAAAATACCACTACTTGTTTGGATGTATTTATACTAAAATAATTAACGGCCATATTTGGAAATAGTTCCCTTCAAATCATCCATTCAACAGAACTGTTCTAAAATAAATGTTGTATGATAATCCACTTTTAAAATCAGGTCATTTAAATAATATCATAATATACTACCATGTGGCTGGGCTCGGTGGCTCAGTCTGTAATCCCGTGCCTTTGGGAGGCTGAGGTGAGTGGATTGCCTGAGCCCGCGGGGTTCGAGACCCAGCTGGGCAGCGAGACGTCATCTCTACAATAAATCAAAAAATCAGCTGGGTGTGGTAGCACGCGCCTGTAATTTCGGCTACTCAGAAGGCTGAGGCGGAAGGATCACCGGAGCCCAGGAGGCGAGGCTGCGGTGGCCGGAAGCAGCCACTGCACTCCAGTCTGGGCGACCGAGTGAGACTCCAACTCAAAAAAAAAAAAAAATACTACCATGTGTTATTATTACTATACTTTGATGTACCAAGATGAAAAATGATAGGGTACTTATCAGGAAAAAGATTAAGAATTGCTGTCATTTTCAAATTGTAAAAATCACATGCATTTCATGAAACACAGATTATTTAGTATAGAACATCATTAAGGCTGAGAGAAATCTGAAAAGGAAAGAAAGTGCCAAGCACTTTTATAAGTGCTTGGAATACATGAAACAAAATCCTGCTCTCATGGAGCTTACAAAAGTGATAAGACAGATGGACAATAAAGTAAACTGCATCATATACATATATAAATGATATGGAGAAATAAAAAGTAGGTGAATAGGATAGGAATTGCCATGAGAGTAGGCGTCAATAAGAAGGTAACATTTAGGCCGGGCTCGCTGGCTCAAGCCTATGATCCCAGCACTTTAGGAGGCTGAGACAAGAGGACTGCCTGAGTTCAGGGGTTCAAGACCAGCCTGGACAACTTGGTGAGACCTCATCTCTATAATAAATCAAAAAATAAGCAGGGCATGGTAGTGTGTGCCTGTAGTTCCAGTTACTTGTAAGGTTGAGGTGGAAGGATCGCCTGAGCCCAGCAGGTAGAGGCTGTGGTGGCTGTGAGGTTGCCAACGCACTCCATCCTGGGCGACAGAATGAGACTCCAATCCAAAAAAAAATTAACATTTGAGAGATCTAAAGGAGATTATTAAGCAAGGTAAGTTATAAAGGTATCTGGGAAGTCATGAAGCACTCCAGGACGAGGGAAGAACAAATACAGAAAACCTGAGATGGGGGCTAGTCTAACATTGTTAAGGAGCAGCAAGGAGGCCATTATGACTATAGTGGAGTTAACAAAGGGGAAAATGGTAGGAAAAGACATCAAAGATAATACAAAGGGCTGGTTCAATGCAGAGTTATGTAGAACAGTTACAAAGACTGGCTTTTATGCTGAATGAATGGGTAGCTATAAGAGGGTTTTACATAGGAATTATCTGACTCTTAGAAGAGTCTAACTTTTGTGCTGGAAATAGACTACAGGAGGTAAGCAGCATGACCAGTTATAAGTCAATTGCAGAGAACACAAAGAATCTTTGGAGATGAAATAATGCTTTCTCTCAAGATGGTGGTGGTTTCACGGGGGTATAGCATTGTCAAAGCTCATCAGATGTTAATCCTTTAAACTGGTGGTTCTCTATGGAGGGCAGTTTGCCTCCTGAGAAATATTTGGTAATGTTGGAGACATTTCTGGTGTCCCATACTGGCATCTAATAGGTAAAGGCCAGGGATACTGTTAAACATCCTACAGTGCACAGCAGCCTCCCATAACAAGAAACATTCAGCGCAAAATGTCAATAATGCTGAGGTTGAAAAACCATGCTGTGGCGGGGCTCAGTGGCTCAACCTGTAATCCCAGCTATATAGGAGCCCGCGGGGTCGAGATCAGCCCAAGCAACTTGGCGATAAGTGCAGCTAGCTGGGCATGGTAACGTGCGTCTGTAGTTCTGGCTACTTGGAAAGTTGAAGTGGAAGAATCGCTGGAGTCCAGCAGGTCGATGCTGGGGTGGCTGTGAGTGTGCCACTGCACTCTAATTGGGTGATGGAGTGAGTCTCCGACACAAAAAGAAAAACCATGCTTTGATTGAATGCGGTTTATTGTACATAAACTATAACCTCAAAATTTTTTTTCCTTTTTAGTCTACTGGGTAAGGGATTGTGGCTTAGACCAGACAAAAGCAGTTAAGAAGCAGTAGGGTCTGAGATCTACTTTGAAGGTAAAGCCAACATAATAGCCTGACAAATTGGATGTGTGGTGTAACTAGAGTATTACTTCAACTGGAAGGTGTTGTCACCAAAATATCACTTTCAACCTACATTATATGTTCCAGACATCTTTTATTTTTCAAATTATTAAGCATTTTAAAGCTGATATGTAAACTTTCATAATGTCAATCTCAAACAGTTAAGCTGTTTCAGGATAAGGGCTATCTACAGTAATGCTGCCTGGAAGAGGAGGGTGGCTGTGTTGGTCAGAAATGGCCCAAGGGCCAGGGTAACATGTATACCTCTGTACCTTCTCCACCAGGATCCGGTCTGTCTCTTGCACGCTGGTATCAGGCACTTGCTTGTCCAAGTAACCGACTGGGTACAGTGAGTCTCCTTGGCCACTGCCCCGGTCACTTCGGCCCCTAAAGAACCAAACCAAGAAACTAAAGCGGCAACCTCCCACACTTCATGCCACAAATTTGCTGTTCTAACAATCATAGGAATAAGAATCCTCAGATGCACTGACTCATTAGATCAAACCTCTTCGCGGGTCTGTCAGTCCCTTGCTAATAGGAAGGGCTTTAAGCATCCTATAGGCATAAAAAGCCCCACGGCAGAGAAGCCGCTACCTCCTCCAAGTGGTGTCCGTGTGCCACCCATTATTCTCAGAGTTGCTCCTTAGTGTTCAGGTTCCATTACTCGGGCTGTTCTGGGATGAAGACTGATGTCCAGCTTTGCCCAGGTGCCTCACCTGCTACCTCCTCCAGATCCGCTCAGCTCTATGGCCCACTTGAAACGCCGGCCTCGGTTGGCCACCAGGCCCCCCTGGGCAGTCATGGCAAAGGCCGCTCTAAAAACTCGAAGATTGTCGCTCCGAAGCTTCTAACACCAAAGCGTACTTCGGCTGCAACACCACCAGACTTCTCCACCGAGCCGTTTCACTCTGCAACAACACTTCCGGCGCCTAACACGCGTCACTTCCGCTTTCCCACTTTTCCGCCCCGGAAACTGGCTGTCGTGAGAACTGAGAAGCGAGAACTAGGAGTTAGGAAATCGGCGGGGAGAAAATAGCAGGCAAGACTTAGAGCTTCCTAAAGCGGCTCTCGTGCCCTCCCCACTTTCTGAATATGCCTATTGTGTGTTCCCCGACCTCTGAATTGCGCTTTACAGGGCAAAAGGAAAGTCCGTACTGACGCTTCGTTAAGAATTGAAGCCAAGAAAAGCTTTTTAACCTCCCACGCACTCCCGGGAACAAGAGATGCAGATCTTGGGTTTAAATCCAAGCTCCGACACTAGGTGACCTTGAACGAGTTATTTAGTAGCTTCTGAGTATTGACTGTTCGCCGTGTTCCAGGAGTTTTGTGTTTATTATTTCATTTAATTCGCACAGTAACCCTGCGAGGTAACTAGTGCTGTCCCCATTCTGCACAAAGGTAGCAGTGTGGGCATGGAAAAGTACGTGGACTCGGGATTCAGATGGCCTACTTTTTAATCCTGGACCTTGGGCAAGTTAAAATCTACTTGCTTCAACCTCCTCATATGTAAAAGCTAGATAATCTACCTACTTTCAAGGCTTCTTGTGAGAGTAAATGGTACCGGCAACATATGCAGTGATGTGGGGGGGCAATTTTAAAAATGTACTTTTAATGATGTGTCATTAAATAATCCACATCACTACTTGTAGTAATTGTATTTTGTATTCAGTCGTATACCTTTATAATAATTTAACCTATTATTGGACACTTAAGTTGTTTCCTATTTTCCTATTATATCCAGTGTTACTGTGAACATATTTGTAGGTCTTATTTCCCTAAGTTATATTCCTAGAGGTAGAATTGCTAGATCAGAATATGCACATTTTTACAGAATTTTCACTGAAAAATGCCCGCTAGAAAAATTGACACCATTTGCATTTCACCATCTTTATAATTTTTTTAAATTATCATTTTGAAAATGGCACTGTGTTTTATATTTTTTTGACTCCAAGTTATTTGATGTGGCTGGAGTTGTGGGGAAGAAGGTGTTGTAAGAGTGCGGTTGGGTTCCAGGCACGGTGGCTCAAAGTGCTGCAATCCCAGCACTTTGGGATACCAAGGCGAGAGGATTGCCTGAGCCTAGGGGTTGAAGACCAGCCTGGGCAATTTAAGAGGGCCTCGTCACTACAATAAAGTTAAAAAAAAAAAAAAAAACCAGGTGTGGTGTGCGGGCCTGTAGTTCCAGCTACTTGATAGGCTGAGGCAGAAGGATCGCCTTGAGCCCAGCTAGTTTTTTTTAATTTATTGTAGAAATGAGGTCAGCCAAGTTGTCCAGGCTCATCTCAAACCCTTGGACTCAGGCAGTCCTCTCATCTCCGCCTCCCAAAGTGCTGGTATTACAGGCATAAGCCACCACACCCAGCAGAAATAATAGATTCTTTATGAAAATGGGATTTCAAGTTGAAATTTTAAGAATTCAAGTTTTAGCCAGGCATGGTGGCTCATGCCTGTAATCCCAGCATTTGGGAGGCCGAAGCGAAAGGATTACCTGAGTCCAGGGTTCAAGACAACTTTGTGAGATATTGTCTCTACAGTGAATCAAAAAAATTAGCCGGACATAGTGGCATGTGCCTGTAGTTCCAGCTGCTTGGAAGGCTGAGGTGGAAGGATCACCTGAACCCAGCAAGCCAAGGCTGTAGTGGCCATGAGCGTGCCACTGCACTCCAGCCTGGGTGACAGAGTGAGACTCACACTCAAAGAAAAAAAAAAAGAATCCAAATTTTTATACAAATTGTGTTTTGCAAGGAAAAGAAAATTAGTATAAGATTTTCCATAAACCTGGGAGACCTAGATTCTAATCCTCTAAATGACTACCTAATGACTGCAAATGAACTACCTAAGTTGCTTTGAGTTAGGGTCTTTCTTGACCTTAATTTTTTCATCTATAAAATAAGGGACTTATATTAGATTGCTAATAATTCCTTCTAGTTCTAAAATATACTGTTTGTTAAAAAGAACATATGTATCTTACTGTTCTTTCCATGCATATATATTCAGGAAAAAAAAGACTCAAATCACAGGCATAAAGGAATGATGATTTTTCCCCCCTGCCTCAGGTTTATTTGTACAAATAACACAGGAAGACACCAACCCCATGCAGACAGCAGCCTGGGGATCAAGCCAGTCTTTCTGTTCTCACATTGGCAGACAGGGGCCTCTACTGTGGAGACTTTGTGGGGGTCTGAGCACCTTTGAGAGCCTGAGCAGGAGCTGAAACTGAAGCTGGAGCTGCAGGTGAAGCTACAGTCAGAGCCTTAGTTTGATCCTTGGCCTTTGGCCTGCAGAGCCTGTGGCCCTTGGCAATACAGGCACTAATGCACTTTCCAAGCTTGGGGTGGGCAATGTATGCAAGTTGAGTAAACTTGCAGCTAGGACCCTTGGGATCTTGGGCTTAAACCTCCTTGGGCTTTACCAGGGCCTTGATAGCCTCAGCACTACACTCATGGCCTTGACATTGTTGACTTGCATCTTCAGGCCCTTCTTGTTGTGTTTCTTGGCAAAGCACATGTCCCTCAGGAACTTGGGGTCCACCCCCTTAAGAGACTCGTATCTTTGTGATCAGGGTTTCTTGATGCCATTTCTATGCCATTTTCACTGGTTGTGTGTGGTATGCTTCTTGGACTTGGCCATGTCTGCACTGTAACCCATGGCTCCTGAAGTGTCTGGAACCAGAAGAGAAAGGGAATAACAGTATTTCAGATAACTTTAAAACTGCTTTCCTAGCCGGGCTCGGTGGCTCAGCCTGTAATCCCGCGCCTTTGGGAGGCTAAGGTGAGTGGATTGCCTGAGCCTGCAGGTTCGAGACCCGCCTGGGCAGCGAAACCTCATCTTTACAATAAAAAAAAAAAAACCAGCTGGGCGTGGTAGTGCATACCTGTAATTCTGGCTACTTGGAAGGCTGAGGCGGAAGGATCGCCGGAGCCCAGCAGGTCGAGGCTGCGGTGGCCGGGAGCGGCCACTGCACTCCAGTCTAGGCGACAGAGTGAGACTCCAACTCAAAAAAAAAAAACTGCTTCCCCATGCTGAGCATGGTGGCACATGCCTATAATTCCAGAATTTTGGGAGGCTGTAATCCCACAACATTGGGAGGCCAAGGCAGGAGGATTGCCTGAGCCCAGGAATTCAAGACCAGCCTGAGCAACATAGCGAGACCTTGTCTCGACAAAAAAATTTTTTTTAATTAGCCAGGCATGGTAGAATGTGACTATAGTCCTAGCTACACAAGAGGCTATGGCAGAAGGATCCCCTGAACCCAGGAAGTCAAGTATGCGGTGAGCTGTGATCATGCCACTGCACTCCAGCCTAGGTGACAGAGTGAGACGCCAACTCAAAAAAAAAAAAACAAATTATGCTTTTTCATACTTTAACTAGTTTTCTGCATTGTTAGGTACTACTTTAGTAGTTAGAAAAACATAAATTATTAATTATAACATGACTTGACTCTAAACCTAGAAGTATATTTATTCTTTGTTCTGGCACATAGGAGAATCAACTTTAGAACTCTTAAAAATACTGATGCCTGGTCATATTTCCAGAGATTCTGATTCATTTTGCTTAGGGTGGAGCCTGGGCATCAGTGTTTTTTATGGTTCTCTAGGCTATTCTGCTATGCGGCAAGGATTAAGAACAGCTGTCATAAAGCACTGTGTTCCAAAATAACAAGATTTGAATTTACATGAAGTAATTTAAGCAGACAATCAGATTTTGAGAGCCTCCTTGTATGCTTTCCATTGGACTAAAACAAAATTGGAAAATGATGGGAATATTGGATTTGTAAAATAAATATTAAGTGTCTCTTATTTTGTATCCTTGAGCAAATATGATTTTATTTTATTTTATTATTATTATTTTTTTTTAGTTGGAGTCTCACTGTGTCGCCCAGACTGGAGTGCAGTGGCTGCTCCCAGCCACCGCAGCCTCGACCTGCCGGGCTCCAGCAATCCTTCTGCCTCAGCCTTCCAAGTAGCCGGAACTACAGGCACATGCGACCATGCCTGGCTAGTTTTTGATTTTTTGTAGAGACGAGGTCTCACCAAGTTGCCCGGGAGGGTCTCGAACCCGCGGGCTCAGGCAATCCTCTCACCTCGGCCTCCCAAAGTGCTGGGATTACAGGCTGAGCCACCGAGCCCAGCCCACAAATATGATTTTAATCAAAGAAATTATTAGAAAGGCAAGCCATTATTTTACAGCTCAAATGAATTGCCTTTGACTTTTTTTTTTTTTGAGTTGGAGTCTCACTTTGTTGCCCAGGCTGGAGTGCAGTGGCACACTCACGGCCACCACAGCCTCAACTTGCTCGGCTCAGGTGATCATTTCGCCTCAACCTTCCAAGTAGCTGGAACTATAGGCATGTGCCACCATACCCAGCTGTTTGGTTTTTTTTTTCTTTTTAATTATAGAGACAAGGTCTCCTCAAGTTGTCCAGGCTGGACTCAAACCCTTGGGCTCAGGCAATCCTCTCGCCTCTGCCTCCCATGGTGTTGGGATTACAGGCATAAGCCACCACACCCAGCACTAATTTTCTATTCAAATAGATTTGCAGGAATGGATCCCCCTGGGGGAAAAAAGCTTTTACAGATATGACTTAAGTTTTTAGTTTATACCATTTCGCAATGTCTCTATAATAATTCTATTTGGCCATCCTTCCTGGTCCAACCAGTTTGCCCAGTGTGCTCTAGAATCTCCTAAGTCTCTTTGCAGCTTCAGTAAAATGGGCTTCCATTACAAATCCCTGCTATTTATGTTAACTCTACTATCATGATTGCCTTCTGAAAAAGGCCATCTTAAACTATATTATTCATGACACAATTTATTCTGTGTCAGTAACAGGGTCTTAACCAGAAGAAACATTTTTTTCTCCATTTTGACTTTGCATTTCAAACCCCTTTAGTGAAAAA